GCGGGAGGAGGGGAGGGAGAGAGGTGCCCGGACGGGGCCGAGGATGGAACTGCAGTGGGGTACGTGCCTCAGGTCGCCACCGCCCTGGGTGAACCCCCTCCCCGGGCGCAGGGCCGTTCGCACCTTCTCACACCCGGCCGCCTGGACACGGCCCTCCGCCCCTGCTCGGTCAGCGTCAGCGCGGCCGCTGCGTAACAAGCAGGCCCAGGCCTCACAGCTCCCAATGGGCCTTCTCATCCCGTCTCACAGCCCGGGGGCTGCGGGGGCCACGCGACCCTTCCAGAGGTTCGGACCCAAACCCAGGGGCAGCCGGTGGAGTGTGGCCACAGGGTGACGGGTCTGGGTGAGCCGCCGCGCGTTCCCAGGGGCGGGGCGGGGCGTGGCGGGAGAGCGCGCCCGCCCGCGGGCTGCAGGGGGCTGGCCTGGGCCGCCCGCGGCCTCCCGGGGCCCGGGGCGCTTCTCCGCGGCCGCCGCGATTCCTTCGTAATTAACCGGCGGGGCTCACGTTTCTCGCCGCGGATTTTTAAATTGTTTTAAAAGAAAGCATTTGGTCCCGAAGGTTCTGGAACTGTCCCGTTTCGCGGTGTTAATTCTTTCATTGTCTAGACAGCTGGGGAGGCAGACGGGGCTGCCGGGAGGAGAGGCAGCCTTCCAGGCGTGGAATTCACATGTTCCCGGCAGCCGGGCTGTCAGGGAGCCCGCCCCCCGCCCGCCCCTTCCCCCGCACAGGCCCGGGGCCTCTGGGTAAAGCCGCGGGAGGGGAGATGGAGTGTGGGCCTGGGGGTGGGGCTCGGGGCTAAGACCATCCACACTGGATCCCAAGGAGGTGAATTCTTTCTTTCTTTCTTTTTTAATATATGTTTTATTGATTTTTACAGAGAGGAAGGGAGAGGGACAGAGCTAGAAACATCGATGAGAGAGAAACATCCATCAGCCGCCTCCTGCACACCCGCCCCTGGGGATGTGCCTGCAACCAAGGTCCATTCCTTGACCGGAATCAAACCCGGACCCTTCAGTCCGCAGGCCGACGCTCCATCCACTGGGCCACGCCGGTTTCGGCGAGGAGGTGAATTCTGACGTTCCTGTTGGGACGAGAGCGTCGGCCTGGGAGCCAGGAGGGCACGGGTTGACTCCGGGTCAGGGCACGTGCCCGCTGCGGGCTCCGTCCGGTGCAGGGGGTGCAGGAGGCGCCGGCCCCACTTCCCTCCGAGTTAGGAGCTCCGCCGTGCCTTCCTGTCCTGCGGGGTCAGGGCTGCCTCCCGCGATCACCGGGGCAGAACTGGCAGGCGCTCTGCATTCCTGAGAGGAGGGTGGGGGGGAGGAGTGGGGAGGGGGTGGAGTTGAGGGGGGAAGGGGAAGGGGGGTCCCCGGTGTCGGTATGAGGCTCCATCCAGCCGGGCGGCCGTGCTGAGCCCGGCGCCCACAGAGGGGCCATTGTGCGGCCGGGAGTCTGCTGTTTACCCTGCAGGCAGTGGTGGGCGGCAGAGCGCCCGAGCCGTGGGCAGACGTGACTGTCGGAGGCGGGCGAGGCCCCGGTGCAGCCAGGCGCTCGGGAGGCGGAGCGGGGAGGCCAGGAGGCAGCCTCCTCACCTGCCCGGTGGGGCCGCGGCCCGGGGCTGCCCCGTCACCGCCCACGGCTCCCAGGAGGGGCCAGAGAGACCCTCTGAGGCCCCATCCTGAGGGAAAGCCCCCCAGACACAGCACCACCGCCCCCGGGCACTCCTCCTGCCCCAGGGCCAGCAGCATGGCAAGGCCTGTGGGCAGCCTGCCGGTGTCTCGGCTCAGCTGGGAGGACAGCAGGGGCTCAGGCCCTGGGGCAGAGCCCACCAGCCGGATCTCTGAGACAAATGCGTTTCAGAGAGGAAGAGAGAGACAGACAGAGGGGAACATCCATGAGGAGTCACTGGTCAGCTCCCTCCTGCTCGCCCCCGCTGAGGATGGAGCCTGCAACCCGGGCGGTGCCCTGCCCGGGACCCACCTCCGGCTCCTAGGCGGCTTTTCCACACCTGAGCCCACCAGCGGGCGGCAGGGCGGGTTCAGGGGCGCCTGGGGTGGAGGAGAGCCCCCCACGCTGGCCATGACAGGCGGATGGGCCTGCGGCGCCGTGGGCCGGGAGCCAGGGCGGGCCCAGACTGTCCCGTTCGGCGGCAGCGGCGGGAGGAAGACGGGCCTGGGGGGCGGTGGAATCGCCTCTAATCTGTAATCAGAGCTTCGCCCGGAGCTTCCGGCTCGAGTGGGAGCTGATGGGAGCGGCGGGACATGCCTTCCCCGGGGCCAGCAGCTCCCCGGCCCGGCCGCCCGGGGGGAGGCCCGGGGGGGCAGATAGGGAGGGGCCGCCCTGTGCGAGGGCATGGGTCCGAGCCCTCTCGGGAGCAGCTGAGGACCCAGGGGCATCGGTGGCCGAGGAAGTGGGTGAAGGACACAGGCCTAGTCGCACCCAGAGTCATTGCGACCTCGCCCCAGTTTGAAACGGTCCATCCATCCACACACACACACACACACACACACACACGCACACGCACACGCGCACACACGTGCACAGGCGCACACACGCACATGCTCACACACGTCGCCTACAGTGGCGGACGCCAGCTCCTCAGCTTTCTGCGGCCTCACGGTCACTGCAGATAAAGAGCGTGTTTTTTTTTTTTTGTTTTTTTTTTTTTTTTTTTTTTAAATATATTTTATTGACTTTTTTACAGAGAGAAATAGAGAGAGATAGAGAGCTAGAAATGTCGATGAGAGAGAAACATCGACCAGCTGCCTCCTGCACACCCCCTACCGGGGATGTGCCCGCAACCAATGTACATGCCCTTGACCGGAATCGAACCTGGGACCTTTCAGTCTGCAGACCGACGCTCTATCCACTGAGCCAAACCGGTTTCGGCAAGAGCGTGTTTTTTAAAAGGCGAAGGTTTGGTGTTTGATGGACGGCTTGTTTGATGGGGTCCAGGAGGCAAGCAGACAGGGACGTGGAGGTCAGGGGACAGGGATGCAGAGCAGGGACCGTCCTGAGCTGGAGCGGAATCTGTCACCGGCGGCGCGCGCTGCCCCTGGTGGCCGGTGGGGGCGCTGCCGCGAACAGTCTGGTCCTGGGGGGGGGGGGGGCGGGGTGGATCAGGGCATGTCTCCTGGAGCCTCGGCCCAGGAAATGGGGCGGAGGGGTGGAGGGGCGGACACCGTGGCCGCCCTGGGCTCCCGGACCTCCCGGCTCGTCCTCCTGGGCCCCAGCTCCACCCGCTGTGGCCACCACCGCGTTCTCTGCGGGGGCCCGAGCCCCACCCACGGCGCCCTGAACCTCGGCCTTGGGGGGGTCAGTACCCACGTGGGCGACAATGGGACAGACGGCGCCGGGCTTGGTGGCGGGACCGAAGGCCACGTTCCCGGGGACTTCCCATCACTCGGGCGGCCGGCGCCCTCTGGCGGCTGCACAGGGCAGTGCGCCCCCTTAGCTGCCGGGGCGCCGCCAGGACAGGGAGCAGCGGGTTCAGGAGGGAGTTCTGGGTCCGGCCTGCAGCTTCCTGCCCTCCCTCCAGCCCTCCAAGGCAGGAAGGGGCACAAGGAATCCTCCAGCAGAGGCTGGGGAGTCCCTAGGGCGACACCCAGACAGGAGCTGTGGGGACAGCTCCCACCTCTGCTAAGAGCCTGTTATTTTAAACACGTTTTTACTGATTTCAGAGGAGGGGAGAGGGCGAGGGGGAGGGAAACATCAACGACGACAGAGAAGCACTCACCGGCTGCCTCCTGCAGGCCCCCCACTGGGGATGGAACCCGCTCCCCCTCCACCCCACCCACGCCTGCGCCCTGACCGGGAATCGAACCGTGACCTCAACCGTGGAGCCACGCCGCCGGGCTGAGACTTGAGGCACCGAGGCCGCCGCAGTGAGCGTCGTGGGGGGAGCCCTCCGCACACGCGTCCGTGAATGTTCACGCCCGGCCAGCGCAGGCGAGCGGGTGCGGAGCCGCAGGTGGTCCATACACGGCCGCTGAGCCGCAGCCGGGGGGAGCCCCCGGGGGGGACGCACACGCGGTGACCAGCGGCACACAGGGGCGAGCTCCCCGGACCCCTGCCCTTCCTGCCTCCAGAGGAAACGCGGGCGTCCCCGTGACCTCGAGCCGCCAGGCCCAGCGCCCCGGGCCTCCGCCTCTCCACCCAGTGGCCTCCGCTGTGACATGGGCGCAGCCCCACCCACCATGCCGCGGCTTCGCCGGTGCAGGGCTGAACGCTGTGCCACGTGACACTGTATGTCCGATCGTTAGGGCCGAAGGCCGATCACGGCTCATCTCGCATCATCGGGGCTGGACACCCGGTCACATCCTCTGTCCTGTCTCACGGCCCCCGCCACCGTGAGGAGACGTCACTCAGGTCATGGCCAGCACCCACCCTTCACCCAAGGTGTCCAGCTCAAACTGTATGTTACATGGTCACCCTGGTGCACAAGTGCCCGCCCCACACTGACCACGGAGTCCACACACACACACACACACACTGACCACGGAGTCCATGCACGCACATACACACTGACCACGGAGTCCACACGCACACAAAGATCACAGAGTCCACACACACTGACCACAGAGTCCACACACACACACACTGACCACTGAGTCCACACACACACACACTGACCACTGAGTCCACACACACAGACACACACACACTGACCACGGAGTCCACGCACGCACATACACACTGACCATGGAGTCCACACGCACACACAGATCACAGAGTCCACACACACACACACACGCACGCACACACACACTGACCATGGAGTCCACACGCACACACAGATCACAGAATCCACGCACATGCACATACACACTGACCATGGAGTCCACACGCACACACAGATCACAGAGTCCACACAAACACACTGACCACGGAGTCCACACACACTGGCCATGGAGTCCACACGCACACACAGATCACAGAATCCACGCACATGCACATACACACTGACCATGGAGTCCACACACCACAGACCAGGCGCTGAGCCGTTATAAAGTAATTTATTAAACTGATCTGGACATACTGTAGGTCAAATAATATTTCTGAAGACAATCATGGACTTTAAAGCTTGACGTAAGATTAGTAGCTTCAAAAGTGTTAGTCGTTTCCCGGCGACAGCATGATAAAATAAGTCAGCTATGTAGAAATATAGAACTCTAGGCGGCGGGAAACGCCGGTCCTCGCCGCGCGTCCTCGCCGGGGAGGAAGCCGGCCCGAAGGCTAAGTGATCTGCCGGCTCCCGTCCTAACAGTGATCAAGCTAAAACCAAACCCACGTCCTAACCTAGCGAAGACTACGGCGAGCTAACAGGCTCTCTACCGACTATAGACGCCTAGCTTCCCTGCACCGCGCTGGCGGGCGCGAGAAGACGCTACAGTGAATGGTGGCCGGGGCCGGCCTGGGAGGGGCCGTTCTGGGTGGAGGGGAGCGTGTGGGACGTGCCCCACAGGAATGATGTCTGGAGACCAGGCCAGACCGGGACCAGCTAGCCAGGGCCACCTCGCTCCCCAGCCGCCCCCTTCCCCTTACAACCCCTTCCGAACAAGTTCACGGGAGAAACTCAAGCTCCGTCAGCACTTCCGTGACTGCGCTGGGTGCTTGCTTCCAGCCTGGGCCAGTGGACACACCAGCTGGGGACAGGCCACCGGGTCCCAGCTTCCAGGACCCTAACTTCCCCACGACTTCCTGAGCAAAGGGCTGCACGCGGGCCAGCGCCGGCAGGACGGCAGCCAGGCGGGCCGCGGCCGCTGTGTGGTCACTGGGGACTTTTGGTCTAGACGTTCCTGGAGTTCCTCCACGTGAGTGTTTAATATCAATGCAGAAAACAAACAAACAAAAAAGGCCTAGAACCCTCACTGCTCACTCCGCCGCGCCCGCCTCTGTCCGCAACCACCACAGTCTGCCCCTGTGGTTTCGGCTCTCCACCCTACACCGCCCCAGAAAGGCCTTGCCCAACTGCTACCTAAGGATGTCCCACCCCCACCCTCCCCCCCTCTACATCACCCTTTTATGTCTTCATAGCAATCACTACCCAAACTACGTCGTTTACCCACGCCTGTCTCCTCCACCGGAAGTAACTCCATGAGTAGGCCCTTGTCTTCCTCAGTGGCATTCCCGCACCCAGCACAGTGCCTGGCACATAGGGGCGTTCAATAAATACTTGTTGAATGAATGGATGGAGAGAAGGGTAACTAGCATAGCCATTCAGGCCTAAAAGGGAACTGATAGGTGATCCTCAACCAAGGCCACTGCCCAGAATCATAAGGATGAGTCTATGAGCAGTGGCTCCTCCCCCCTCCCACCCGGGCTGCCCTGGTGAGAAGGATCCAGTCACAAGGGAGCCCCTGAGGGCACAGAGTTCCAACTCCACCTGCTCCTGCAGCCCTATTTACATTCAGCTATTTCCAAAAAAAAAAAAAAAAAATGTTCAAGTTAAAACTAGGTGATGTAGCCGACAGAAAGTAAGTCTAACAGAAAATACAGTGATGAGAACCCACAAAACTAAAAAAAAAAAAGGTCAGGGGAGCGTGCGCCTGCCAATGACCCGATGGGCTGCGTGAGGGCGCCCGAGCCGCTGAAACCTGCAGCGAGATGTGATGCCATCTAGGAAGGCGGTGCTTCTGGGAAAGGACTCGGAGGACACTCAGGCAAAGTGGGGTGCCGACAATGGGATCTGTGAAAATTCCAGAGCACTGCCTTGGGCAGCCGTCCCTTTCAAATGCATAACTGATACGACTGATCAAGAGAAGGGGGTCATGAGCTCCTGACAGGGTACCTGGGACACTTGCTGTTGGGGCGAGTGTCCGAAGGAGGGGATGCGGGAGACTGAGTGATGATCGTGGTTTCCTGTGTGGCACTCAACTGCGGAGGCGCTGGGCCGGAAGCCCAGGAAACACCCCCGCCTCCTGTGAGTGGGAGATGGCTGGGACCTCACAGCCCATCCTGGGCAGACGCTCGGAGGGACATCGAGTTGTGGAACACACTCGGAGGAATAAAAACTGCCTCACCTACGCCTCCTCAAAGGAACCTTCTGCCTGGGCTTCCAGGGGCCATTTCTTGGGTCAATGCAGGTATTCATTCATAGGGTTTCCTTCCTAGTGGCACTTATGGGTTTTAAGATTTTTAACTATTAGCAACTCTTTATATGACTGATATTTTGAGATGGTTTCTCTCCTTTGTGTGCACTCTCTGGTGGATGCAGAGGCTGGTGCTCTGGCTGAAGGCCTTCCCACACTCATCGCATTTAAAAGGCTTCTCCCCAGTGTGCACTCTCTGGTGGATGCAGAGGCTGGAGCTCTGGCTGAAGGCCTTCCCACACCCACAGCACCTGTAGGGCTTCTCCCCAGTGTGCACTCTCTGGTGGATGCAGAGGCTGGAGCTCTGGCTGAAGGCCTTCCCGCACTCATAACATTTATAGGGCTTCTCCCCCGTGTGGACCCTTTGATGCATGCAGAGGCTGGAAGTGTGCCGAAAGGCCTTGCCACACTCTTCACATTTGAAGGGCTTCTCTCCGGTGTGGACTCTCTGGTGCATGCACAGGTTTGAACTATTGCTGAAGCCCCTCCCGCACTCGCTGCAGACATAGGGTTTCTCGCCTGTGTGAACTCTCATGTGAATCTGGAGGTGTGAGCTCCAATTGAAGGCTTTGCCACACTCGTAACATTTATAGGGCTTTTCTACTGTGTGGATTTTCTTATGTCTGTTGAGTTTCGTCGTGGTGCTGAAATCCTTACCGCAATCATCGCATTTATAGACCTTCTCTCCCGTGTGGTCTCTCCAGTGAATGTGGAGCTCGGAGATGTGGAAGAAGCCCTTGTCGCACTTGTCACACTTATGGGGCTTCTCGGCAGTGTGGACCTTCTGGTGCATGAAAAGGTCTGCTCTCTCAGAGAAAAACTCCCTGCACATGGGGCACTTGTAGATCATGGTTCCTATTTGGTATCGTGGCTGAGAGGAGAACGTCCTTGCGGCTACTATCGCTACAGAGCCTCGCACCTTGCCATGCTGGCAGCTTATCTCAGGCTCGCTCCGCTTGGGGGGTTCAAGGTCGGCCTAAGCTCTGCCCTGCCTGCCTTCCAGAGGAAGGCTTCTTCCTGCATAGCGCTCCCCACTCGGTCACTACTGCCTACGCAGTGACACGCACGCCCGCGCGCACCCCGGGCTCAGGAACACAGAGCTCCCCTTGGGGTCCTGAGTGTCCACATCGCACGGGCCACCTGCAGACCTCGGCTGGCGTCTAGAAGCCTCAAAGCTCCCTGTGTGGTGGCCTCGCACTTCTCACGCAGACGGCGGTGCACAGCGTCCCCCGCCGCAGAGGCTGAGAGCTCCGAGCGGGTCTGGGCCGCCCGCAGGCTCCCCGGGGAAAGTCAGCGTGGCATTCGCCTCCTGCACGTCCACCGGAGTTTCCCAGAGGCAGTTCCTCGGGCCCAGGGGTGCGGCTCCTCCGCTGAGGACTCTGCCCGGGCACCACTCCAGCTCCTGCGACAGAAACAGACAGAGACAGTGAAAGGCCTTCTGTCCAGGCTGCTGCCATCCGTGAGGAAGCGGGTGTCAGTGTGAGCGCACAGACCTGCCCTGCTCCTGCGCGGGGAGCCTGTCTTCCGCGTGCGGTCCGGGGTGCAGGTCTGAGGAGAGAAGGTGCAGATGTCAGGCTGTGCACAGCGCGTCACAGCCAGCACCACCCTCCCTGGCACACCGGGCGCTCCCGGGAAAGGAGCCCGCAGAAGCCCTGGAGCGCGAGGAGCAGCCGCCCGCATACAGGACCAGAAGCAAAGCAACACCCCACCCGGGACTTCGGAAGGGCAATCCTGCGGCTCCCGCAGCCAGCACCCGGGGTGGGAGCCGCACGCAGTCCCCGGGGAGAACGACACATGGTGTGTGGATCAGGCACGTCTGTCCTGTGCTTTCCTGACGAACTTCAGGTCCCGAACCTGAAACGCCAAGTCCTGCCCGGCCTTCCCCGTGCCCCGCTTTGTTTCGGGCTTGCACATGTGCCTCCTGTGCCTGCCCTCCTTCCCCGCCTGCATGGCTGGGTCAGCGCCCCCACAGAGGGCCCAGGGAGACTCCAGGCGGAGCAGCAGCGGTCAGACCTCCTCGCTCTGGGTGTGATATCAGCCTCCTGAGCCAGGATGGAGCGTCAGTCAGTGCAGGGGGGAGCTCCACTTGGTGAGCGCATCCCCGAGGGCTCCCCACGCCCTCTGCCCCCCACAGACACGGCTGTACCCATCCCAGTGCACGATCCAGTCTTTTGGCCGCCAACATGGACAACATGCACAGCAAACAGAGTGAGGAGCGGACGGAAAGAAGTAACTCCCACAGCTTCCACCGAAGGCCCGAGGGTCAGGTTCACACCTCAGCCACCGCTCCATCGCGTGTGTTCTGTGCTCAGTGACAGGCTGTCAGTCACAGACAGACACACACACACACGCACGCACGCACGCACGCACGCTCTTTAAATGCACCCGACCTTCAGGCGGGGCAGGTGCTGGCATTGGCTCTATCCAATCTCACCGCCTCTAGGCTCTCGGCCACCACACACCAGACCTCCAGCCTCTCCCCCTCAGACCTGCCCGGCCAGTTTCTCCTCCACCCCCAGGTCCTCAGAGAGCTGGGCGGGTCTCACGGCCGCAGGCCTGCACCCAGCACCTGTCAGCAGCCCTTGGGAACTGGAAGTTCATGTGATGAAGCTGGAGCCTGCGTTCTGCAGCTCCCCTGGTCTAACTGGGAGCCGGGCCTCCTCCAGGCTGAGGTTCCTGAACGCTGGCGAGCTGAGAAGCCCGGGCTGTTTGCCAGCTCCCAGTGACGCCAAGAACTCGGGATCCGTGAAATGCTTAGATCCTGAGGCTTAACCCTGCGCACTCACACCGTGCTTGTGAAGGTGCGTCCGAGTGAGGGCGCCAGTGCCAGAAGGAAGGAGCAGGTGACCTTCATGAACGGGCAGGCCCATCCCTCGGGGCAGGTCTGCTCTGGCCAAGGCCTTCTTCCCAAGACCTGTCACAGGACCCCGGGCGGCACTGCAGGCAGGACGGGAAATAAGCAACGATTCTTTTATGGAGCTAAACTTGCAGGGGCATGAAAGATAAATGAGCTCCAGGACCGCTTTGCCGAATGCTCCGGTGACAGATGAGCGCGTCCAGGGGGAACGGAGGCGTGGACACACCCGCCTGCCGGGAGCAGTGCTCGGGCTCTGCGTGCTGCCGCCGTGCCAGGTCAGGTTTGTGCTTAAAATCTCCCAGGAGCAAATGGATCCACCGAAGCCTGGTCTCCCAGCCCGATTCCTCCCCGTGGATAACTGAACCTGGGCTAAATGGCTTCAACTGGCCAAGCCAGTCCCATCCTGCGCCCTTCCTTCATCACTCCTCCGAACCATTTCAACTCCGGGTCCTGTCCACTCCCGAGAGTCCCTCCGCGGGCGCCAGGACGCCACTCCACCAGTGCCTCGCCGGCACGCACGGCCAGCCTGCCGGGCTCAGGACTCCGCTGGGAGAACCTGCTCCCGAAGGCCCACAGCTGTGACCTGAACGACAGTGAACAGGGACCAAAGCGGGGCCGGTCAGACTCCTGGGGTCCCCCGGGAAGGGGACTGCCTGTTTGTATCCCCCCGCCCCGCCCCCTCACTCACACAGTGAAGCCTGACCCCAGGTTACGGTCTCAGGAGACGGAGCCTTCGGGAGCACCCAGAGCGCCCCCTCACCCCTCCGCCTGAGGGCAGAGGACACAGCGAGAAGAGAAGACGCTGGCTACGGACAGGAGGGCCCTCACCAGACACTGACTCCACGGCACCTGACCTTGGACTTGCAGCGCCCGGAGCTGGGAGAAACGAATGCTTGTCTGAGGCACCCAGGCTGTGGCGGTTTGTTATGCAGCGTGAATGCACTACGGCAACTTCCAATGGCCAGACGGACTCCCAGGGGGTAGAGACAGGGACCCCTCTCCGGGCCTGGCCGGCCTCCTCATGGGAGGGACCAGCTGGACAGCACCAACAGCGACCACACCAATCAGTCTGACCACAGGACTGACAACAGGCCCCCAGCCCTTCAGACGGCCGCCGCCTGCTCAGAGAGGCAGTTCAGCCCGATGAACCCAGACACCGCGACACGGCCCAGAGCCAGGCTCTCCACGGGAAAGGCTGATGGCCCGGTCTGAGCTGGACAGCATTCTCCAACCTTAACCATTCAGTCGGGTTAATTGCATCCCAGGACACACGGAAACGCTGGCTTTAGCCAGGGTTTGTGCCCAGCGCCTGCTCGCTCGCACAGCGAAGCCCAGGTCTGCAGCGAAGTCTCCCTGCAAAGCCTCTGGGAAGAGCCGGCACGTCCACCTTTCTGCGCAGCGTCCATCCCTGGCCCTCACCACAGCCGACACCCTCCCTCCCGGTACAAAAGCCTCCCGCTCACCCTGCCGCTGGTGTCACCTTCTGCAATGAAATGGGTTGTCCCACTGCTTAACCCTGTGCCCCGGCCTGGAACGTCCAGTCACTGCCTGTCTGATGCCTGTGGCTCGGACACTGGGCGACATTATTTCCTCGCACCTCCCCCGGCTCCTCTCACCACTGCCCAGCAGCCAGGGCAGCCAAGCCTCACTTCTCTTGGCTTCCCCTCCCCGCAGCCCCTCCCAACTCCAGGCCTTCCCAGTGAGCCCCTCTCACCTTCAGGTGGCACCCAGACGCCACTTCCTCCGGGATGGTTCCCTGACCTCCGCCCTTCCCCTCGTGCTCCCAGGGCCCGCACACGTCCTCCCACATCTCCCTTCCGTGTCACACGCGTGGCTTGGGCGCCCACCAAACCACATGCGCCTCCCCACTCCCAGGACCCGCTGCAGACCCCCAGCAGCACCTGCTCAGTGACCGGCCCACACCCTTTACCACCTCTCAGTCTCCCCGATCGTGCACGCCCGAGGCGCCCGAGCTCGCTCTACGGAGCCTCCCGGGACCCCGCTTCACGACTGCGCTCTGGCTGCCCGATGCCCGAGGACTGAAGGCCCTCGCTCTGCCGGCCCCTCCGTGTCAGACCAGGAAGCCCCAGCCCGTGTTCAAGCGCCTGTTATTCCACGGGCACAGCATTAGCCGTGGGAGCCAGTCTTATTCTGCACGCTGTGAGGAAGCCATTTTCCCCCAAATACTGGAAGTGACAAAATTCACTCACGCTAATTCCAGACGCTCCTTTCAGCGCGCGGACTGTGGGGAGCCGGCAGAGCTCGCCCCCGACGGGCAGGCCTCGCCCCCCTGGTGAACGTGCACATGCCTCCGCACCAGGCAGCTCGCCTGTCCTAGGTTCCTAGGTACAATGTACTTCCTAACACCAAAGGTCCCACTGTGAGTGTAATACAGAGTCTAGAAAACACCCAAAAAGTAAACTCAAAATTACCCAACAGCCCACCTCCCAATGTACAATTTTAAAGATTTTCACCTAATTTTCTAGACAATTCTCCATAGGTTTTTGTGGATGGCTGTTAGGGTTTTTATTTGAGTTTTAATCTTATCATGTATGTAATTTTGTGTCCTGGTTTTATTCCACTTAACTCTGTCGTAAACATTTTAATACATTTTCTGCATAAACACTTTAATGGCCCTACATTACCAAGCTGATGAATCATAACTTAATCATTCTACAAACGCATCCTTAAAACTAATTCTACTGCCCTAGCTGGTTTGGCTCAGTGGTTGAGTGTCGGCCCGCAGGCAGAAGGGTCACAGGTTTGATTTCGGTTGTAGGTTCGACCCCTGGCCCCGGTGGGGGCATACGCCATGCAGAGACAACCAATCAACGGATATTTCTCAGGCCTCTGTCTCTCTACTCCTGCCTTCCACTTGCCCTCAAAATCAATGGGAAAACATCCTTGGGTGAGGATTACCAGGAAAAACAATCTATCACAGACACCTGTGCACCAAGTGGCTGTTTAAAAAGGCTCCTCTGACGGTCCTCAATGGTTTCCATATCAAATGTAAACACTTCCCAGGCTCTTGCTACAGATGGGCGATGTGACATACTTGTAGAGAAGTTCCCATCAGCCCCAGCTACTGTCATTTTTTGAGTCTAAATTTAGGTCTTTGTACAATTGTTAAAGTAAATGCTCATTGTAGGAAAAACTTGAAACAATTAAAAAGCATGTGAAATAAAATACAAACAAACTGGCCCCAGCCGGTTTGGCTCAGTGGATAGAGCGTCCACCTGCTGACTGAAAGGTCCTGGATTCTATTCCAGTCAAGGGCACAGGCCTGGGTTGTGGGCTCAATCCCCAGTAGGGGACGTGCAGGAGGCAGCCGATCCTTGATTCTCTTATCAACGATGTTTCCATCTCTCTCTCTCTCTCTCTCTCCTTCCCTGAAATCAACAAAAACATATTTTTAAAAAATCTATCTCCCCTGACTTTCCCTCAGTAGTTACAATGTATCCTTTTCAAATATTTTGGCCTCAAACTTTTTCTATCTTTATTCAGAACACACGGTTTTCTGTTTTTGGTATCTTACGAAAAATTAAACTCGCTTTTTTGGCTTAGTAATATATCCTACTACCCACCCAGGCCACGCCAATACACACACGTCTACCTCGGTCTTTAAAAGCTGCTCTGTTCCTCAATCACTCGGCCCAGCTCTCTGCTGACATGGCGTTCTGGGGTCGGGCTGCCTTTGCGTTACCGCAGCCTCTCCCGGCCTCGGTGCTTCCGGTCCCTGCGCGGTGACACACCCGTCCCCGAAGACCGGACCGCCATGTGTGTTTCTGCTGCGGGGCGAGCGGAGCCTGCTCTTCACTTCCCATTTAGTTTCTGCCAGGCTGTGCTTGGGATTCATGACGCTGTGGATTTTAGGTCTGCATTGTGTGCTTAATCACATCCTGAACATTTTTAGTTTTTCAGAACCTCATTTCTGAAATGTAGCCAATAGCACCTACAAAATATCTCCCTTCTTTCCATTTCAGACCCTCACCTCACTCTTATTTCACGCATTACTGTTTTGACAAAACTTAGAAAACCTGTGTTAAATAATTTCCCAATTTTAAATTTGATTATTTTCTTGTTCAGTATAATGTGGACCATTAACATTTATGTTTTTATTTTTGCAATAAGAATGCACCTTTTCATTCCACTTTATAAAAAAAGAGGACTTTTGAAAAAAGAATAAAACGTCTATTTTTGTCCTTATTTAGTTGGTAGTTTGAATTCAACGTGAACACCAAGGGGAAGAGCAGCTCTTGCGCACACATCTCTGCGAGGGCCTATCTGGTCTCCCCACTTCACACACACACACACACACACACACACACACCCGTTCTGCATGCAGCAGCTGGAGGGCAGTTTGAAAATGCAAATCTAATTATGTCATTCCTCCGCTTAAAACCCAGCCCCGGGTAAACCATCCTGAGCCCACCGGCCGCCGCCCGCCCGCCCGCCCGCCCCCCCCCCCCCCCCCCCCCCCCCGCCTCGCTCCCCTGCCTCCATAACCGCCCACAGCCGTTCTCTCAGGCCCAGGGCAGGCAGCACTCCCCCCAGGGCCTTCCCACACGCCATTCCCCTGCCCGGAAAATTATGCCCCACTTCACTCCACACTAACGCCTACTCTCCCTGCACATCTCAGCCGAGTCTTCCTTTTGTAAAAGGAGGGGGTGGGAGGGAGGGAGGGAGGATGGATCTTCCCGGGCCCTCTCCCCACAACCTAAAACCTGGTCCTCTTGTCCCCTCCTGGGACAGGTGCTAACTCGCATCGCAGATAGTTTGGGGTCATACGAGCAGTCTGACTGCACTTCATTTCCATTCCCTCCACCGCAGACCCCCAACTCCCAGCAGGACAGCACACGCTGGTTTTTCTGCCCGCACTACAAGCTCTCGAGTACATCTGAATGAAAGAAAAAGACAAGACCCTTAACTGCATCTCTTACACCTTAAAATGGTACCACCCCTTCATTCAGCCAGTATTCAGATTCCTAAGCTCTTCCTGATGCTGCCTGCAGTCAGGAAGAACCGATTTTACCGATGGTGCGAAAGCTAAGCCGCTGCCACAGGAGCGCGCGCACGTTCCTCTCGCTGCTCATTAGGAGAGCTTTTTGGTGCCGGGTTCCGTTTGCTGAGACTTCACTCGAAGCCAACAAACTGATGTGCCTTATGTTTTATGGCACGTAAAGCACCAGGAAAAATGCGCTTTGTAAAATAGCCTTTAAGAGGTCTAGCATTAACAGCGCTTGATAAAAATGAATGTTAACAAAATCACAAATTAAAAGGCAAACTTGGCGATCTCTGGTATTCTGTAACACACATCTGGTCAAAAGAGAAAATATAAATTATATTGCAAATAAAAAGTTCCTTTGGATCGTAAAAGCTAATAAAACCAACATTTATAAACGTTCCCCTCTGCGAAGCACTTTCACATCCTTCGTGGCACTGAGCTCCGCGGAGCAGAGTGCGGGCGCTGCCGCCAGGTGCAGAGCAGCGAGCGGAGCTCAGAGCCGAGTCCTGCCCAAGGTCACAGGAGGGGGAAGCGGTGGAGTCATGGTGAGCTGGGGAGGTTTGGGGGAGGGGGCGGAGGCTGCGTGTGGAGGTCTGTAACCCGAGAGCCCTTCCCCCTGAACTCCCTAATTGGTGCTCCTCCTCTGAAACTGCGCCTCCGCCTCCGCCGTTCCAGGTACAAAGTTAGAGCTCCACTCGCCACCGGTCCAGGAAATGGCTCCATAAACCATGGTCACCCCAACTGGGGGCCGCGTTAACCCGTTCGCCACCTGCTGACGCGGAAGGCCGAGCGGCCTGGCAGTTAAAACAAAGGCCATGCGAGGGAGTGGGTGCACACGCGTCCCGTCTTTTGAAAGATCCAGAAGGACACGCTGCGGTGGTTCACTCCGGGGGCCGGCTGGTCGGCAAAGCCTTGAGCCATCTCGGGGGTGTCGGCACGTCTACCGAGAAAAACGTATGACCTGGCCCCTTTCAAATAACTTTAAAACCTTTTAAATCACCCCGGGGGCGGGGCAGGGGGCCAAGGTCATTTTCCTGCTCTTAGGAGGCGCCGCATCCAGACAGGAAGTAGGGGTCGGGTCTGGAGGAGACAAAACACGGGAACTAAACCAGGTCGGTCCCGTTCAAACAACACACCGTCTGCACAGCACACGACGTGCCTCCAGCCATGGCAAAAAACAAACAAACAAACAAACAAACCCGCAATAGCTCGGGATTTTGTTTTTGCTTTTTACTTTCTGGCCTCCTTTGTTGCGGGAAGGCAGCCAATGGGGAGCGGGCAGGCTCCTCCCGGGGCGCGAGTTGCCCTGAGTTGGGGGGGGGGGGGGGGTCCACAAAGGCGCCGAGTCCGAGGGGAACCAGAGGTGACCGGGCAGCGCTGCGGGAAGATGAGCCGGGTCTGGGGGAGGGAGGGCGGGGCGGGGTGTCTGGGAGGGGGACACACTGAGTTCATCAGAAGCCGGGACAGGAAGGAGGCCGAGGGGAGGCCTCCCGGGACGCGGGGCGAGGAGGGGGCGAGGAGGGCGCCGCCGCCTTACCTGCGGGAGCGGCCAGGCCGCGCTCAGACAATGGAGGCGTCCGGCGGCGGCCGCGCTCCGCGCCGCGGGCTCCTCATCGCCGGCGCCGGTGCTCGCCGGGCTCCGCGGCCGCCGGGCCCTGGAAAGCACAGCGCAGGCTCAGCCAGGCCGCCGCCCGCCCCGCCGCCTCCCCGGGGACCCGCCGGGCAGGCTCCGGGCGCCGCTCCTCCGGCTGCGGGAGCCCTTCCGCTCCCCCTTCCCCGGCGGCCACAACAATGGGGCCCGGAGTCCGGCCCCGCGGGGCCTCGCCTGCCGCCGCCCGGCCCGCGCCGCGCCCCCGGCCGCCATCTGCGCGCCCCGCTCCCGCAGCCCGGCGCCGCGGCCCACGCGGGGCGCGGAGGCCCGAGGCCCGCTGCCCTCGGCGGGGCCCCCCGGCTCGGGGCCGGCCCACCCAGCGCCCGGCCGCGGCCTTTCTCGACCCCCCCCCCCCCCCGGCCGCCCGCCCCCCCCGCCCGCGCCCCTGCCCCCCGCGGCCGCCGGCGCCCCGGGCCCGGGCAGGAAGGACGCGGCCGCGGCGCCGCCGCCCGAACTCACTCCGAGTGCGGGGCTGAGGCGCCGGCCGCGCCGCCGCCGCTCCGCCGGGGCCGCCTCACAGGTGCGCTCCGCGCCGCGCGCCGCACGTCCCGACGCCTCCGGGGCCAGCGCGCGTGCGCACGCACCGGCCGGCGGGCCCGCGGGAGCCGCGCCGCACGCATGCGCGCCGCCCGGCCGGCGCCTCAGCCCCCGCTCGCCGCCTCGCTCCGCCCTCCGCCCCGCGTTACCCGGGGCAACCGCAGTGCGGCCGCACCTGAGCTGCGCGCCTGCGTCCCACCCGCCAGACCGCTCCGCCCGGTGCGGGCCCCGCGCCGCCGCGGGTGCGGGACGGGCGCCGCCCCCGCCCTGCCCGGTGAGTACCGCCCGCCGCCGCCGCGCCCCGCCCCGCAGACACAGACCCGCCGCCGCCGCCGCCGCCCGGCGCCTCGGCCCCCGCCCCGTCGGCGCGGCCCCCGCCCCGGCGCTCCCGGCGTGCCCCGCGGCGCTCTGGGGCCGCCGGCGCATCGCCGGGCGGGCGGCGCCCCTGACCTCCCTGGGCGGCCCGGCGGGCAGGGCCGGAGCCCCGAGCCAGCCCCGCCCGCAGCCCCGCCCATGGGCCGCCGGCCCCCGCCGCCCGCCCCGAGGACCGCGCCGAGGCCGGGAGCCGCCCGCAGCACCGCGCTGGCCGCCGCGCCCGCAGGTGAGGCGGGGCCGCGGGGAGGCGCCGCGGGCGGCGGGGCACCTGGCGGGGGGACGGCCGTTCGGGGCGATTATTTGTGGAGTCCTCGCTGCGGCGGGAGGGGGTCCCCGGTCGCAGCCCCAGGGTGCGGGCGGGGACGGGGTCCCCTGCGGGCACAGCTCGGGGTGGGCGGACCGAGTGCGGGGAAGGAGGCAGAGTGCTGGGCCCCGCGCCCGCAGGTCCTGCAGCCGGTGGAGCGGAGCGGCCTCGCCGCGCCCCGCCGGCCGATGGGCTGGTGGGGAGGCCGGGCTGGCGCCGCTCCCGCCGGGCCGGGTGGGACCGCGGGGTGGGGATCCGCAATGCAGGTGCACGGGGCGCCCGAGGGCCCGCCGCTTTGTCTGGGAGGCCGCGGGGGGATGGGGGCCCAGGGAGGAGGCCGCCTGAATCCACACCGCCTGCCAGAGGCGTCTCCCCACCCGGGGGCGTTAGGGACCTGCCCTGGGGGGGCCTTTCGCGGGCCGGGAACCCTTTACGTAAGTGCCCAGCCTTCCGGCCTCTCCCCAAGCTGGGGGTGGGGGGGGAGGGTGGTCTCTAGTTTCCCCGAAGTAACACTGTGATTCCTGCACCGGCGCCTCCGCCAGGCTCCGAGGCTGAGCTTCTGGGGCCCAGGGAGGCCCCTGCCCTCTGGCTCAGCCCGCGGGCCTGTGTGCTCCGTCTCCAGCTTCGATGGTCAGCGGGATGGAGGGAACAGTCACCCTGTATCTGGTTGTAGTCATCCGAGTTGTAGGTAAATGACAAGCTGCCGGGCTGCAGTGCTGTATGTCCCGTGTCCCCCAGAAACCTACCTGGGAGGCTGTCAAAGCCAGAAGGGTCGGGGTCTGAGGACTTTTTCAGTTAAAATTTTATTTAAAGAGCACTGCTGCTGTTTTAGCAAATGATTTTTCTTCGCAGTCAAGAATCCACCTGCATTGCCATTGAGTTGTAAGGGAAAATATATTTACGTCTAAAGTGGTATGTGTTTGTGGTGTTCTTTACCTCCAAAGATGGCTTTGAATTTCTGTCTCTCTCTTGGCTAACTGTTCATCTCTTGTGATTTTTTTTTTTTGATGGAAGGTTAAGACTTGTGATAGCTGCGTCCACATGACCCTTTGTATTCCTACACTTAATCTTAGCCAGAAGGCTGAGAAGCGGCCCTTCTTATTATTCCTGTGCACGACGTTATAATTCCTCAGTAAGTTTAGTTTAGTTATGTTTTAAACCTAAAGTGCAGAACAGGGGTCACATTTTTACTATGGCACATGTACATACATCAAGCTAACCAACAAGCTTCTTAGAAACGAGATGTTTTTATTGTTAAAAATTTTTTTTTTTTTTAAGAAAAAAGACTTCTTTTACTTAGGACAGAAGATCACCCATTTGGGTTCTGAACTTCCCCGTTGTTTGCTGGTGAAAATCATTCTGTCTCCGCCATCACTCACTCGCCGGGGCGGATGTGCAGGCACTGATGCTGCGGTGGGGTCTGTGTGTGGGAGGAGTAGTTGTTTCTGTATCACAGAGCGTTTCTCTCGCTGCTGGCGGGACAAGACCGGCCCTCCTTCTCCTATCTGGAACAAGGTCAGCCCTGTTTGCTGGCGGTGAGCGTCTGCTAACGGGAGCAGCTCCCAGGGGCAGCCAGCCCCGGTGCTCGCCGTGGGTGCCGGAGGGGCTGGCTCTCACCGGCGTCCAGACGTCAGGTGGACACCGGCCGTCACGTCTCCGCTTCACCGTTAACCCGGCCCGGGTCCGAGCGGGGGAGTAGATGTGCTGTCTCCGGTGTTTAGGGCCCGCGGTGAGCAAAGGGACTGCACGGAGCCAGAGCGACTTCTGAGGACCAGGAGGGAACCTGCGGACTCACGGGAAGATGGGCTTCACTTTGACATAATAGCAAAAGCCGCCTCTGATGGCGCCGCCAGCCCCAGGAGGAGGCGCCCGCTGGGCCTCGCCGGGCAGGACGGCTCAGGAGGCTTCACTGGTGCTGCTGGAGAGGCCTCGGGCGATCGGAGGGCACGTGGTTCCTTTTCCTTTCCTACCTGCCGGCTTCTGCTGGGCACAGCGCCATCCTCAGGCTCCTGCGGCAGAGGCCGCCCGCCCCAGGACCCTAAGCCCGCTTTGCATTTGTATGGGGCCTGCGGGTCCCAGAGGCTAAGCTGCGTGTTTTCCTTAAAGAGACCCTGGTTAGCGACCTGCGGTCGCTATCTCGTCCTGCAGCCTTTGTTTTCTGTAATAAGCGTCTGCTCAGCCGGCGTCTTTAAAAGCCTTAGGAACGGGATGATGTCAGTCTTGGGAGAGCCGGCAGGGCGCAGAGGTGAATAGATTGTTTTTCTCAGCTGAAGTTATTTCTGAAAGACTCCGATTAAGGGCCAGCTCTTGTGCTCACGCTGCATTTATCTTCTGCTTACTTCACCGCTGAAACCCGACCCCGACTGCACGGGTGCGCTGGGCCCTGGGCGGCAGGGCTGCCTGGTGGTGGAGTCTGTGCTGGCAGCTGAAGGTGAAACCAAGCCGTGTCCCCCCGAGCCAGGAAGCCTACGCTCCCAGCCACCTCCTTCACTGCGTTTTGTGGGAGTTTCTGCTCCCAGCACTCGGTGTGGGGCTCACTGGAGAACGAGAATGGGGCGTTCTGGGAGTTCTCTCCCTCCCTGACATCACAAAGCATCTCAGCGAGAGTAGAGAACCTCCCGTTCTTAGGGGAGTCGGGCTGGAGCGTCACCTGGAAACGTGCCTGCCTCCCCTGCACGCACAGAAGTCAGGGAGAGGAAGCGGGACCGGTGAATCAGACCTGTCGGCACAGCGGCCACTGGATGGAAGGTCCTCGGGGCCCCTCGCCGTAGGTGGACATGCCGATGCCGTCCGAGGACAGTCCCGGGAAGTGAGGGTCTAGGTAAACGCCTGCCAGAAGGGTCCGTCTCCTTTAAAGGCACTGGGCCCCGCACCGCACCGGCCATTTGGCCTCCTCGTTCACCAGGGCCTCGGAGAGGGGTGCTGGCACTCCTGCCTCTGCCAGGGGGGCTTGGCATCTATGTGATGGCACCCCCGGAGGTCATGTGCCCCAGACCAGGGGCTCCTGCCTCTGCCCGCCTGTGCCCACACAGCCCCCGAGCGACAACCGGAAGCAGACCCCCTCCTCCCTGGACACGGTCGCTGGGGGCTCAGCCTGCCCGGCGTGCAGGCACCCCGTGGCCTGTAAGTGGAAGCTGGTCAGAGCTGAAAGGCTGAGCTCAGCTGAGCTGAGCTGATGGACCGCAGCGCGGTCAGCGACCCCATCACCAGGCCTGTGGCCGCGCTTCCCGGCGGCCGGGGCTCGTGTTCCCGTCTGATTGCCAGGCCTGCGCACAGCTCCTGCGGCCCCGCTCCGGCCGGCAGGCTCTCCGCAGGAAATGGCTGCCGGCCCCAGAGGGCTGTGCTGGGCCTTGTTTTTATCCTGGGCCACGTCCGAGAACCACGGAGCGTGGGATGCTGCAGGGCGGGTACTCGTGTGTCGTGGTCATGTCCCGTGATCTTGGGGCTGTTGCACTTGTCAAAGCTGTTTCTCCCCCCCCCCCAACTGGTGTTCCCCCCCTGCCCACGGCTGTGGGGAGCGAGAGCATAAGCTGGTGGATCGGAACAGACATTCCCGTCTCTGAGGGGTGAGGGCCCGGCCAACAAAGCGACTGCTCCCTTCCGTCCAGAAGCGTGGCCCGGGGCTCTGGAGCCGGGGCGAGCTCGTGGCCCAGGCCCAGGGGGGCGCTGCGGCTGTGACTGCGGGGGCAGCCCAGGGGAAGCCCGCTGAGTGCGGCTCGGGCAGGGGCAGCGCACTCGGCGGGCCCCTCGGGGCTGGTGGAGGTGTGCGGACGCCATGAGGAGGGTGTGGCAGGGGCCGAGGCGGGAGGACAGGGTTGATGCCGGGCTCGGGCCAGGAGGAGGGACGGGCCAGCAGGCAGGGCCTCTGGGAGCGCAGGACCGACCCCAAGCGTCGCGGGCTGCCACGCACCAGAACCTGACGGTGAGCATGGCCACTTCCCTGCCTCTGCGTGCTGAGCAGGTGCCTGTGAGCAGGCGAGGCAGCCCGGGACACAGGCCCTGGGCCCCTGAGGCTCGGGGGCCCTGGTGCCAGCACAGCCCTGGGCCAGCCCTGGGCCTCCTGTGTGCCCGCCCAGTGCCGCGCTGGGGACAGCAGCCCCCCTCTGCACCCACAGGACCGCTTTCGGGATGGTCCGCGTCCCGTCCGTGGCCAGGGCATCCCGATGCCTTTCTCCGGTCACAGTCAAGGCCGAGTCTCGGCCTGAGCCAGCGGGTGTCGCAGGCGTGCGGGGTGGGGCGGGCAGGGCTCGGGGACAGACCCAGGCTCCCGCTGTCACCCCGTGGCCCTGTGAGATGTTCCTCGGGAAGCTCCCAGGAAGGACGAGGGGGGCGGGGGGGCTAGGGGCCATTTCGTGTGGGAGCCGGTAGCCGCTGCCTGAGACCCCCTGTTCCCACAGGCCACCGCACGCCAGCATGGCGGCCTCGAACCTGGAGAACCAGCTGCACAGCGCGCAGAAGAACCTGCTGTTCTTGCAGCGGGAGCACGCGGGCACGCTCAAGGGCCTGCACGCCGAGATCCGGCGGCTGCAGCAGCACTGCACAGGTGCCTGCGCCCGGGAGGGGGGCAGGGGAGCTTTGAGGGGTCCTCTCCTCGGATCAGGTGACCCATAACCAGGAGACCACTCGTGCGGGGACCCCCTCCCCCTCCCACAGCCTGAGACTGATGAGAGCTGGGCAGCCAGCCCCGGGCGCAGCGCAAACCCACAGGTCCAGGTGCAGAGTGCCACCTAGCAGAGCCAGCTGCTGGCAGCACGTGGGTGATGGGAAAGGGGGTTCCCTCTGGACCCTGAGGAGGGCGGTGGCCACTGATAGCTTCCACCGTTGTCACGCTTGCCCCTAATCCTGCCCGTGTGGACCCCCCGGCTGGTGGCCGGTTCAGAGTGGACCAGGCCTTTGCAGTTGCTGTGACTGCCAGAACCAACGCCCGTGGTTTCCTTTTCAGATTTAACATACGAGCTGACCCTCAAAAGTTCAGAGCAGACAGGTAAGAACTGCCACCGGAGAGTGATGGTGCCTGCTCCCGCGGCCAGCGCTGTGCAGGGACCTGTGTTCCCAGGCTGCGGGCGGGAGGAGTGACACGTATGTTGGGGGCCTTTTCCGCCTCCCTGGGCTTCCTGGTTTCTGTCGTTGGTGACCAGGAGGCGGCGGTGGCGCAGGCCCCCAGGGCCCAGTGAGGGGGGCTCAGTACCAGTAGCCCCGAACGTGGCTGAGGTCCTTCCTCACTCCAGTCCCGGGCCTGCTTCCCCAGCCAGCATCCTGGGTCCCCGGAGATAGTCAGCCGGTGGCAGCCGCGCAGAGCTGGGGTGGGCCTGCAGGGTGGGACTTGGCAGACTCCACATTTGAATCAGACGCCCCTTCTAAGCAGCCTGTTTGCGGGGCAGTTACACACACGTGCGCCCAGCTCCGGTCACAGGTCAGTCCACGAGGCTAGGTGCTGGCCGGGCCCTGAGCCTGCCGTCTGTATTCCCGTCTCCCGGGTGCGCCTCCAGGAGCCGGCGCTGAGCCTGCCCGTCCGGCCGCAGCCGGTGGTCAGCGTGGAGGTGCCTTTTATACAGTAAGCAGGCCGAGGGCTGGCATGGCCGTGGCGGGCTCTCACCGGCCGTGCCTGTGCCCCAGGGGACGGACGCAGCAGCGAGCTGCAGAGGCGCTGCGAGGACCTGGAGGCGCAGCTGCGGGCCAAGGAGCAGGAGCACGAGGAGCTGCTGCGCGAGCTGGAGCAGAGGAACGCGGCCATCGCCGTGCTGGAGACCACCGTGCGCGAGCGCGAGAGGCGGTACCTGGAGGAGCTGAAGCTCAAGAGCCACAAGCTGAGCCTGCTGTCGGGGGAGCTGGAGCAGCGCGCCGGCACCATCGCCTACCTGACCTCGCAGCTGCACGCCACCAAGCGGAAGCTGCTCGGCTCCAGCGGCACCTCGGACGGCAGCCCCGGCGGGAGCCCCGTGCTGGCCGGCTACAAGCCCGCGCCCCCCAAGGACAAGCTGCCGGAGACGCCCCGCCGCCGCATGAAAAAGAGCCTGTCCGCCCCCCTGCACCCCGAGTTCGACGAGGTCTACAGGTTTGGGGGCGAGAGCCGGAAACTCCTCCTGCGGGAACCGGTGGACGCCATGCCCGACCCCACCCCGTTCCTGCTGGCCAGGGAGTCGGCCGAGGTCCACCTCATCAAGGAGAGGCCCCTGGTCATCCCGCCCATCGCGTCCGACCGCGGCTCCGGCGAGAAGCACAAGGTGCACGTGGGCGTGGCCCACCGCATCCACCACATGGCCCCGCCGCAGGCGCAGCCCGAGGTGGAGACGCTGGCGGTGGACCAGGTGCGCGGGGCGGCAGCCGTCAGGAAGAACTCGGGGACGGACAGAACTGTGTGAGGCCGCCCCGCCCACCGCTGCCACACTGTGATCACCGCTCCGGAACGCCCGTCACGCCGTTTTGTTTAGTTTCCATGCATGCCGAACTCTCAGACCCGCCAGCAGCCTTCCCCGCCCACCACCGTCTCCTCACCCACGTGCCCGTGCCCGATGCAGCTCCCGCAGTAGCCGCTGTGCCCAGCGCCGGTGCCGCATGGCCTGCTTCCCGCCACCCGTGTCCCAGCATGGACAGCGGCCGCAGGCTGCACGCTGCTCCGTGTCAACGCCGTCAGCCAGCCACCCCCGCGGAGACCCCTCACCTCCCACAGCCTTGCCCGGGGCCCTGGCGGCAGGCGTGTGTGTATGTCACGGGAACTAAATAAGATGACGTTGCTTCTCATACCACCACCACCTGAATGTGTGTCCATATTTTTTGTTAGTTTTATCCCAAATGTTCAAGATCCCAACAAACTTTATTTTCCAAACCTGCCTCCTCTCTGATGTGTGTCTTTTATTGAAGCAGCGAGGGAGGGAGGCGGCTGGGAGGGAGATGGCGGGACCTCCCGTAACTGCTGTTCTCTCGCCAGACAGTGGCCTCCACCAGGGACGTGGCCCGTGAGCGGTGCAGGGCTCACTTCCCTGTGGTCTCCCCTGCCCAGAGCTACCCGAGAAGGCCTTTGGCCCAGGCTGGGCCGCCCCGGGCACTCGGTGCTCGCCCGACTCCTCCCTCGCGGTGAGACCTCACCTTGTCGGCCGGCGGCCCAGGCTGCCCCGCAGCGCAGAAGGGGGCACCAGCACCGCCGTCCTGGAGCTGGTGGTTCTGCACCCAGCCCTGCAGACCCGGGAGCGGGTGGGGCTCACAGTGCACGCGGGAGGCCGGAGGGCCTGGGAGGGGGGGGCGGCTGCAGGGGCCGGGCCCAGGGCAGGGCTCTTCCTGGCGGGCCGCAGCGCGGCCGTCTGCCCGGAGGCGCCTGCAGCCAGTCAGACTGCTCAAACGCCTCCCGAGATGCACACGGGGTCCTCCCGGTGCCGCAGACGCGCCTTTTGCTTAATCCAGTGTTTCCTCTGAGACAGAGAAGGAAACCCTCAACATCTCAAAACGCTCTCCTTTAGATTTACTTTCTCTTAAACCCTTATAAAAGCTTCAACAGCAAAGCCGGCAGCTGGGTTCATGTGGGAAGGGACTCAAACGGCCGACTCCCAGCGGAGGAAAAGCCCTCCTGCCCTCAGAAGCCCGAGCGGCGTGGCCGGCCAGCGCCGCACGGGCCCCTTCGCCGGTCAGTCAGAGTTGAGGGTGAGGCACACGCCCTGCAGCACCCAGTGGGAGATGTGCCTCGTGGTGAAGAGGTCGGCTTCGAAGACCAGGCCCACGCCCATGGCGTTCCTTCTGGTGGAGGTGGTGTAGACGGGCGTCCGGAAGGTGTTCTGCGAAGGAGAGGCATGGGGGTGCCCGGGGTGGGGGAGTGCCCGGGGACGGGGGGGCCCGGGACGGGGGGCCTTGGCCTCTGGGCTCAGTGCGGAGGGCCTTCCTGCGAGACGCATCTAAGCCAGCAGGGGCCGGACTCTGAGGGCGGCCTCCCTAGCGTCATGTGGACACAGTGTTCGGAGGGGACCTGGGCCGGGGAAGCAGGAGTGGCTGCTCGCACCCGGGGACGGACCCAGCACCCCCCGCAGGCTCTCACGGGAGCCCGACCCTCCCGAGGCGCCTGCCCTCCCAAGTCTGCGTGCACACGTGTGTTTGCGTGCATTTTCCTGGGCAGCTATCATGCCTCACGGGGATCCCCCCCAGGGAAGGGTAGGCCACCTCAAGTGTGCCTGCAGGCGGCGGGGGGGGGGGGGGGGGCGGGGAAGGGTAGAGCGCGGGGCCTCCCACCTGCAGTTTGAGGCGGTGGACTTCGATGGGGATGATCTTCAGGATGGGCAGGTCCTCCACCAGCACCTTGGGCTTGCTCTTGACCAGACAGCCTCTCTCAAGGTCCCAGCCCGCGCCTTCCAGGTACAGTCCCGACACAAAGCACCCTGGGAGCCAGGAAGGGACCGTCATGCAGAGGCACAGGCGTGCGCGGGGCACACACTGGGAGCGTGCTCGAGCCTCCCCCCGGGTCCCTGCGGGGCTCAGAGGGACGCCCTGACGCGGGCACCAGGGCCAGGGGAGCCGGCGGGCCGGCTGCACTGCAGGCTGGGACCAGCGAATGTGACGGCCCCGCCTCGCCCCTCGGCTCTGGCTCCCAGGCCCGGCCTTTGGGGCTTCCAGAGCGGCCGCCCGGTGACCAGCCTCTGAAAGGTCAGACTGACCGGGGACCCCTCCACACGGACAGAGAGCCCAGTGGGAAGCGACGTGGCCGGCATGTCCCCACGTGGGCAGCGCAGGCACAGCAGTGGGCACAGCAGCGTGGCTCCCGACACAGCCTGGCCCCCTGGGCTCGCCGCTGCTCCTCCCTCAGAACCGGCGGCACCGGGCAGGGTCGCACCTTGTCCTGCCCGCTCGGTCACTTCCTCTGCGTCCTGGAACTTGGTCACATGCGTGAACAAGGTGGAGCGGTCCAGGGGCCAGCCGTTCCTCCGGCAGGTGGCCTGCACCAGGGCCGTGAGGTAGGACTCCGGCACGTGCAGCCCCGAGAGCCACATCACGTTGGGCTCACACTCCGTGACCTGAGAGCGGGGCAGCCGCGTCAGAGGCCGCTCCACGCTGCCGGCCCCGCCCGCCCAGAGGAGGGAGGCGGGTCTAAGGGCTTAGATGGACAGGTGCCCCCCAGTGAGGGGGCCAGGCTGGGCTGTGCCCTCCCAGGTCTTAAAACAGAAAGAGGAGGAGACACAGATGTGCTGCAGAGCACCGTCAGCGCGCGGGGTCGGCCCTGGGTGGGGGCGGGGCGGGGCGGGCGGGTGATGCTGGGCACGGGCGCCCCTCACCCAGTACGTGTACTGGCTGAAGCGCCGCAGGAAGTACAGCATCCAGTTGCCGAGGGACTTGAGCGTGTCGGGGGCCAGCTTCCTCCAGATGTGCGGGATGTGCCCCAGGAACAGCGACCTGGCCACGTCGTCCAGCTCGCTGCTCATGCCCACCTCCCCGGCCAGGGCCTGCGGCGGGTGGGGAGGCGGAGGGGTGAGGCCAGCCCTGGCGCGGGGAGCGGGCACCGCCTGGGGCTGCGCCGTCTGCCCCCGCCGCCCGGGGCTCACCCGCTGCAGCTCGGCCAGCGAGCGGGACATGCGGATCAGCAGCTTGTTGAAGCGCTCCAGCTCCTGCAGCAGCACCACCGCCGTGGGGGTGATGGTCCCGCCCAGGTGCCTGCGCACCAGGTCCAGGTCGAAGACCTTGGGCATCTTGTTCTCGATGTCCTTGGCCACGTTGCCAATGTAGTCCTCTCGGCTGATGCCGGTGCTCGACTCCCCTAGGGCAGGTCGCTCGTGAGGGGAGCGGGCGCCGGGCGAGGGGCCGGGCGAGGCGGCAGCACGGCGGAACCCAGACCAGAGGCGGAGCCCTGCCCGCCGGCCCGGACGCGCCCTCGGGCGGCCTACCTGTCTGAGGCTGCAGCTCCAGCAGGTGAGCCCACAGGTCCCGGGCGGCCTGCGTGTAGTAGCCGATCTCTGCGTTGGGGTGGAGACCGAACACCTCGGGCGTGTTGGCCAGCGGCAGGGCCTCGATGGCTTCTGCGGCGGACAGCGAGCAGTCACCGCGCGCACCGCCCCTCCAGACACCAGACCCCCTGCTCCGTGCACGGTCCCCAGGACAGCTCCACCCCAGCCCCATCCAGCGCCCCCTCGTCTGTATGAAAAGGCCGTGACCTCCGCAGGGCCACCCGTCATTCAGGCCAGGAATGAGCGCCAACGCCGCCAGCTCCGAGGCTGGCACCAGCCGTGGGACAGCCTCGCCCCCGGGCGGGGGGACAGGAGAGACAGAAGAGCCAAGTGATCAGCAGAGCGCTGGGATGCGGCCCCAAGAGACGCACCCACGAAGCGCTCCTTGGGGTCGGCCGCGCCCCCGGGGATCTTGTAGTCCACCTCCTTGTTGTGGAAGAAGTGGAAGGGCTGGAACGTGTCGAAGATGAAGTCGCCCAGGTACTCGTCCATGTAGATGGTCAGGATGCGGCGGTCGAAGCTGTCGATGGCCCGGCCTCCGTACATGACCTGCTCCCGGGAGTGGGAACGGCCGCTCTGGCGTTAAAGAAGCCACAAGCCAGCCCGCCGCGTGGCAGCAGCTTCTGCCCGGGAGGGGACCTGCTATCTCCCGGAGCCCGCACAGCCCGGCCCCCTGGAGCGGCGCCACGGCCTGTCCGAGGCGAGGCGGGCACTGCCCACTCCCGGGACAGGGCCCGGGCAGGGAGCGGAGCACGTGTGGCCGGGCTCTCGGAGGACAAACTGCTGGGTGACGAGCAGCCTGGTCAGAGGCCCAGGGCCCGGCTGCCGGCAGGAGGCGCAGAGGGACCGGTCAGGGAGGGTCCCGGCCGCCCACCTCTCCGATCAGGTACTTGAGGCTGCCCCACGGGATCCGCGTGTCGCGCTGGTGGAAGGCTTTGGTCAGGTACGTGTTCAGAATCTCCATGCAGACCTGGAGGGGGGCGGGGAGGCTCGGGCACGCTCCTGGGGACACGGGCGGGGGGGGGGGAGGATGTCCCGGGTGGGGGGGGGGGGAGGATGTCCCGGGAAGCGGGGCCGCACCTGGAAGTCGGACTCGTTGAAGTCGTAGTAGACGTTCCAGCCGATCTTGCCGAACTTCCTGCGCTCCTGCACCACGGCGTGGAAGAAGGCCAGCACGTACACCAGCGGCTTGAAGGCGGGGTGCGGGCAGTGCTCCAGCATCTCGTTCGAGATCTTGAAGTACGTGGCCCTCATGTTGAGCTTCAGCCCGTTGGGCGGCTCCGTGACCACCTGGCAGAGGAGACAGGGTGACGAGCCACAGGCGCGCGCAGACACACACACACACACACACACACACACACACACACACACGGTGGGTCCGAGGGGTCCGTGACCTCTGACCTTGAGGGACTTCTGCAGGATGCCGATGGGGAAGCCCTCCGTGGGGTCGGTGGTGAGCCACAGGCGGAAGTCGGGGTGGGGCTTGGTGATCCTCTCCAGCGACTTCTCCAGGTCCTTCAGCCACTTGACCAGGAGGTGGCAGTTCTGCAGCATCAGCCACTGCCCGCGGGCCACGGCCGTCTCCAGCAGCTGCAGGGCCACCTGCCCCGGGAGGGAAAGCTGGAGCCGCGCCACACCAGCCTGTGCCCTCCCAGGGCCCGTGCAGCCCCAGCTCAGCCCCAGCCCCAGCCCAGCCCAGTCCCCGCCCCCGCCCCCCGCCCCAGCCCCAGCCCGTGCCCCAGTCCAGCCCCCCCCCCCCCCCCCCCCGCCCCCGCCCAGCCCCAGCCCAGCCCCGCCCCCGCCCCCCCCCCCCGCCCCAGCCCCTGCCCCAGCCCAGCCCCCGCCCCAGCCCAGCCCCAGCCCAGCGCCAGCCCCCGCCCCAGCGCAGCCCCCGCCCCAGCCCAGCCCCAGCCCAGCCCCCGCCCCAGCAGAGGCGGAACCCCACCTTGGGGGACTCCTCCCGGCCCCTGTACCGTGGGCAGGTCCCCACCCAGAGCCCCTCTGCCCAGAAGATCCCACAGCCCCGACACTGGCACCCCCCTCCTGACCAAGTCGTCAGCCCAGCCACGGGCAGTGACACCTGACCCGCAGGGGGGCTGTGGGGCGGAGGAGGGACTACGTGATGGTCATGCCTCAGCACCTGGGCCCAGGCCACACTGCCCTGCTCTCACCTCATCCTGGCCCAGCCCCGGCCTGACCCTAACCCAACCATCGCTCTGGCTCTGACCCTGACCATAACCCTAGCCCTGACCCTAACCCAACCACAGCTCTAGCTCTGACCCTAACCCTAACCCTAACCCTAGTCCTGATCCTAACCCAACCACAGCTCTAGCTCTGACCCTGACCCTAACCCTAGCACCATAACCCTAGCCCTAGCCCAAACCATAGTCCTCGCCCTGCCCGCTGGAGCACATGCCCTTGGCCATGTCGAGTGGCCCAGCTGGCCTCCCAGACCGACTCCTCCCGCAGCGAGCACCTTCTCCTGGCCTTGGCCCATGGCCAGGAACTTGAGGCGGTTTCCCCCGAAGCCAGTGTGCTCGGCCAGCTTCATGAGGTCGCTGGCAGGGTCGGAGCCGGGGCTCAGGATGAACACAATGGGCGAGTTCGGGGTGCTCTGCTCGAAGATGGCCTCGAAGCTGATCATCGGGGGCTGCACGTACCTGGGGAGGGCCTCTCCCGCGTCAGGGGGCTCCTGTCTGGCCCCCGGGGACCTCACCCAGGCTTTCGGCGCCACCCGCCGTGTGAGAACCGCGTCTGTGCACCCCCCGCCCCATGCCGCTGTCTCCTCTGTGAACAGCGGAGCGCGGTCCTGCGTGGCCGTCATTACGCTCACGGTGGGCGCCGTGAAGATCCCCCGCAGCCGGCCCCCTCGCTGCCCGGGTACGGGGACCCGCAGCGCTCACTTCTCCCCCATGATGACCGTCACGTAGTCGGTCACGGCGCGGTAGACGCGGTCCACGCGGAAGCAGCGCAGGATGAGCAGCTTCTGGAAGGGGGTGATGCTGCTGTCGTAGCCCATGGGGAAGGGGAACTGTTCCAGCGAGTCCAGGTCGTACCACTGCGGGGAGAGGCCGTCAGGTGGAGCCACGTGTGACACTCCGGGCTGACAACGCGGGCAGGAAACAGCGGCGGCCACGGCCCCTCCGAGCTGCCCTGCTCCTCCCCGAACTGCGCTGACTGTTCTCCCCCCTGCCCCCCCGGGTGGGCAGGTCTGCATCCGAGGCACCGCTGGTCCCAGAGCCCAAGGGCGGGCACGGAGCTGCTGGGGCATTGCTTGGATGCCTGGGGGGCGGGCGGGGCAGGCGGGCGGCATGAGGACTGATGGACGGACAGGTGGAGGAGCTAGCTGAGCTCATGAAGCAGCGTTTCATCGGGATCTGAATGGGCCCCTCCAGGAGCGTCTCCATGCCCAGGGCAGGGCTGCGGGTGGTCTGGAGACGGGCTCACCTCCTGCCAGACAGTGGGGTTCTGCTCCACGGCGTCGGGGAGGCTCCCGAAGTGATCGGCGAACTTCTCCGACAGGAGCATGATGTCCTCCCAGCCCTGGTCGGGCAGCCATGCGCAGGGCTTCTTCCGCTTGTTCTTCTCCAGGGAGATGTTTCCTGTCGCCACGGAGAAGCTCAGCCGCCGCACCAGGCGGCGCTGCCAGGGCCTCCCCCGGGGGCAGCCCGCCGGGAAGAGGGGCGCGGCTCCCTGTGCTGCCCTCGGGCCCTCAGGCAGAGACGGGGCTCCGCCAGCCCAGAGCCGTGTCCGGGCTGGAACGGTCGGCCTGGACTGAAGGTCCCCGCGCGCGCACGGCCGGAGCCGCTCTGGGGTGCCAGGTCCCCGCACGCGGGAACGGCTGGGCGCACAAACCTTTCAGGAAGAAGTCGAGCTCCTCCTGGGGGACCCTCCCCTCCGCCTGCTCTATCTTGATGGTCATGTTGAAGGAGAAGAGTAACTTGTGCCTCTCAAACAGCCCTGAGGAGAAACAAGGGGGACCCCACTTCAAAGTCGTTCCTGGACACACGCACCCCATGCTCTCGCAGCACTGCTTACAGCGAAGGTGCCCTGCAGGGGAGGGGTTAGGGAACGGCAGTGCGTCTGCTCGGTGGGAGACCACGCTGCCGTAGAGGAAGGACCTCCCACCATCTGCAGAGCATGGGTACAGAGCTGGAGAGCGTGATGCTGAGCGAAATAAGCCAGTCGGAGGTAGATAAATATCACATGACCCCACTCATATGTGGGATATAATGATCAACATAAACTGAAGAACAAAAAGAGCCAGAGACAAGGTAACACTAAATATTCCGTGCAACCTTGGGGGGGGGGGGCGCGTTTAGAGAGCAACCAAAGGACTTGTAGCATGCATGTTAGCATGACCGATGGACACAGACAGTGGAGGGAGGGCATGTGCTGGGGGTGGGAGCAGCTGGGAGAGGTCAATGGGAGAAAAAGGAGACACATTAATACTTTAAACAGTAAAGAATTTAAATAAATTTTAAAGTCATTTCTAAAATCGAGTTTCTGGCACCCAGTGTGCTTCCACGTGACAGGCCCGGACAGTGCAGCTGCACGGAGCCCTCCCTGCTGGGGGTCCATGACCGAGGACAGAAGACACAGGCCGTCTGTGTGCCTGTCCTCAGGCAGCCTATGGAGGCGGGGCCGCTGCGGGGGCAGGCTCTGCGGTAGAGGAATACCTCCCAGCCCCTCCTGAGGAGGCGGCTACGTCCTAGGCTCTTCTCACAGAAGGCGCTCCTGGGGCAGCGTCCCAGCAGCCTGTGACCCGGACTGCACGTGGCATGTGTGAGAGGGCAATGCACTTGGCATCCTGGATCCAGCCCTGCCTGAAGCCACCATGGGCCTTTCCGTCTTCTCAGCTGGTCAACGCCCTTCCAGCGTCAGCTGAGGCGGCTGGGTTTCCCATCACCTCAGGCTGAGCTGACCTAACGCACAGGGCCTGGGACACCTCTAGGACACCCTCTCCCATAGCGCGCGCCCCCCCCCCCCCACGGGGCCATTTCTCACCAGGCAAACCCTCAGGAGACACAAAGCCCAAGCCCAAGTCCGGTGAGAGCACAGGCTGACGCCCTCCCACCCACGGGAACAAGCATCGTCCACAACCTTTGTCTTGCCCCCGGCCCGGCGGGCTGTCCCCTCCGGGTCACGTGCAGAAGCAGCCCTGAGCCCAGGCCCTCCACAGGAGCTGTGCCCGGGGCCCCGCGTCACCCGACGACGGGACGAGGACCCCGGCCGGAGCACGGCACCTGTGCAGCCGTAGTTGTAGATGTTGAAGGTCAGCGTGTCCATGATGTTCCGGAGCCGCTTCACGAGGACAGAGTCGGGCAGCGACTTCTTGAGCGACAGCCCGAAGACGTCGAGGAAGGCGCTCAGGGAGTACTGGTACATGGTGGTCACCAGCGCCATCTCCGACAGCACGAAGAACAGGATGGCGCCCCGCCGCGCCGCCGGCCGGTAGCCATCCCGCAGCCGGTCGATGTCCACGGCCGTCTTCTCCGCCAGCTTGAGCTTCTCCGACACCTGCAGGGAAGTGCGGGTTGCCAAGGAGACAGGACACTCACACCCTCACCAAGGGCACGTACACCAGGAAGCGCGGGGGGCAGGGAGGGAGGCAGCAGGTAGTAAAAAACAAAAACGACCCATGGTGCTCACAGGGCCCAGCAGGCACCGCCGTGGCGGGGGGAGGGGGGGGCACTCTCGGCTCATCCCACAGCACCTCCTCCCGGCCCGACAGCCCGCATTCCACCCGGAGACCCGCAGCACCCATCTCATTCCTCACGGGGCTGCACCCCAACTCCAGGACCCACCAGCCCACTTCCCCGGGCGTGGGACTTAATGCTCTCAGGACCTTGGAGATGGGGACAGGGAGAGTCCCAGGCTCCCCCGAGACCGACCTGACCAGACGGGAGCCAGACCGGAGGCCACAGGGAGCCTGGCTCCCGGGAGGCAGAGAACAAAGCCAGCCGCAGGCGGCCCAGCCCAGAGTGGAAGGGGAGTCTGGATGGAGGGCTTGGCGTCCTGGATCCAGCCCTGCCTGAAGCCGCCATGGACCTTTCTGTCTTCTCAGCTGATCAACGCCCTTCCAGCATCAGCTGAGGAGGCTGGGTTCCCTATCACTCTCAGGGCAAGGCTGACCTAACGCACAGGGCCTGGGACAGCTCTGGGACACCCTCTCCCATAGCAGCCGCCAGGGGGCCATTTCTCACCAGGCAAACCCTCAGGAGGCCGGTGAGAGCACAGGCTGACGCCCTCCCGCCCAAAGCCCGGCCCCAGGCCGGGACGCGAGCCCGGTGCCTGTGCGCGAGCGGCGCACCTCCGTGGCCTTGGACTTGGTCTCCTCCAGGGTCTGCACCAGCTCCACGTTGTCCAGCATGTTGCCCGTGGAGGTGGCCAGCTCCCGCAGCAGCGAGTCCTCCAGGTCCTTCAGCAGGTTCTTGTTCTCGCTCGTCTCCTGGATGAGGTGCTCCCGCTGCTCCTCCAGCTCGTGCCTCTCGAAGGCCACCAGCACGCTCAGCAGCTGGTCCTCCAGGCCCTTCAGAGTGACTGGGGGGACACGAGCGCCTCACTGCTCTGTCCCCCCGACAGGCGTGCGGGAAGGAGGCCGCCCATCAGTGATTCCCTCTCATCCCTGAGGGTCCTCCCCCCGCCACTCCCTTCCTCTCGGAGATCGATAGGAACATGCATGTTTCTAAACGACATGACCACGAGAACGATGGGGCCCTGAGTGGCGTGAGGGCCGGGCAGGCCTGGCCTCGGGGTCTCCCTGGCGGCCGGCCGCGTGCCCGGCCCGGGCTCACCGGTGTAGTTGATGACCATGGCCTTGCCGAACACGGACGGCGTGTAGCGGGGGTTGGCCAGCTTGGTGGTGAGGTAGAGCCGGAAGTTGGAGTCGTAGTCCACCTCCTTGTCGCCCAGGATGATGAACTGCCGGCCCTGGGACACCTTGATGTTCTTCTCCAGGACGCTGTCGATCACGGGGTCGATGTATTCGTCCACGTCGTGGAAGAGGAAGGGCGTGCCGTACTTGATGGCCATCTCCAGCTGCTTGAGGAAGTCCGGGTCGTTGAAGGAGGCGACCTGGGGCGGGAGGCGGGTGCGGGTCAGCCTGGCCTCACCTCGGGGACCAGGGGGTGGCCTTGGAGCACAGGCAGGTGCAGACCAGGGAGCACGGCCAGAGACAGGAAGGAAAAGAGGGAACTCAGAGTCACGGACTTGATGATTTCAGCGAAGTGGCTGGCTCCCAGGCAGCAGGAAAACAAGGCCACAGACCCCACAAAAGCCTGCGCACGCGTGTTCTTAGCTGCACTGTTCACAACTGCCAGCCAGTGGCGACACCCTCGGCGTCCGCGGCGGTGGGTGCCCGTGGTGCGGGCCACAGTGGGAACTGCGCAGCCAGGAGCAGGAAGTGCCCTGCCAGTGGGCGTGACGATTCTGGGACCCCTTCTCATAGAGCCCCGGGACAGGAGCCGCGGGGGGGACATCTGCCAGTGGCTGCCAGAGGCCGGGGCTGGGAGAACTGGGGAGCAGGGCCGTGCTCGGGACACAGCGCTCCTCCGGGCGACAGGAATGGACTCTGGTGGTGGTGACACAGCTCTGGGAGCGCACCCAGCCCCTGGGGGGAAGGGCAGCCTCCGAAGGCGGCACGATGGCCCTCAGCTGCTCACAGCCCACGGGGCAATGCGCAGAGCAGAGTAACGGCCGGGCTTCACCCCACCTTCCCGACTCAACGCGGCTTGGGGCTCCGTGCAAGGGCTCAAGGCCGGGCGTGCCGGCGGGCACTGCTGGAAGCCCGGAGCGCCAGGGCGGGCATGGGCGGAGCCTGAGGCAGCGGGCCGAGGCGCGGACGGGGCCAGCGTACCCGCAGGTTGTTCTTCTCCTCCTTCCTCTTTATCCAGTTGAGTGCCTGCTGCTGGGGGTCGATGCAGAGCGGGAAGCGGCTGGCCCGCGTGGTGAGGATGCCGTTCTGGACGGACAGCTCGTCGGGGGGCAGGCCCTGGGAGCCCCACCTGGAAGGCACAGCGGCAGGGAAATCCATGTCTCTTGCCAAGGCGTGAACCAAGGACTGGGGTGGCGGGGTCGGTTTTCCAGAACAACCCAGGGTTCCGAGACCACGGACCCTCCTCGGGTCCCACCTGCTGATCTCCACGTCGTCCGTGAGCAGGCTCTCCAGGCGGAAGGGGGAGCTCAGGGGGATCTCCCGGTCCATGATGTCGCGCTGCCACACCTGGTTCACCATCTCGTTGCGGAACTCCCAGGTGAAGGCGCCCTCGTAGCTCAGGAAGGCGGCGCACAGCAGGCAGTCGCCCAGCAGCCGGACGCGCCGGTGCATCAGCTCGTCCAGGTCCCTCAGCCACCTGGCGCAGAAGGGCGTGCGGTGAGCGAGCCCCTTCCTGCACCCTCTGAAGAACATTCTAGAAGACCCAGCTGGACCCACTGCTAACAGCGTCACAGAGAGAGACACATGGATGGGTTGCCTTCCACATGTGCCTGGACCAGGGCCAGGGGTCGAGTCTGAAAACCCAGGTACGTGCCCTCGACCAGAATCGAACCCCGGACCCTTCATTCCTTGGGCAACGCCCTCTCTATCCACAGGGCCACCCCAGCGAGCGCCCAATCCCTCCCCCGGGTTCCGGTGGGAACCTGATGTTCTCGGAGCCCAGCCCCGAGATGAGCTTGTCGGCCGCGATGAGCCGGCGCTCCATGATCTCCGCCTCCTCCTGCAGCTTCTGCTTCTCCAGGATGGCCGCCTCGTACTTGGCGCCCAGGGCCTCCAGCTCTCTCTGGATGGCGGCCAGCTCGTTCTGGATCTTCTCCAGCTCCCGCTTCGTGAGGAAGAAGTTGCGCTCCAGCCTGGCCACCTGCGGGACGGTCGCAGTGGGACGTTGGGACGGGGACCGTGGCCTCCAGAGGCCAGGAGGCTGCTGAGCAGCACAGGCAGCGCCCACGACAAGCTACTGCCCGCCCACCGCCCTCAGCACGCAGGGGAGAAGCCCGCTTCCCCGGCCGCAGTCCCAGCCTTCCGGACCGCACGGGTCACCCGCTGCCCTCGACGACAACCTCGACTCTCATCCCGCGCTCGGCACAGGAAACGGGGAAATCTTTAGGACAGTCTGTCCGCGGCCACTAGCCCCAAACGAGAGCTGTGGCTTGTTTACCGGGGAGAAGTGTTTACGGGGCTTAAAAGCAGAGCCCGGCCGGACCTCCCCGCGGAGCAGCGGCACGAGCGCTCTGACTCCACGTGGCCTCGGGGCAGGGTCTGCGCCTCCCGGGCGGGCGGTACCTTCTCCCTCTTGGGCTTGATTTCCTTGAACACGTCGCAGTAGCCCATCACGGCCTCCACGAACTTGAGCATCCCCAGGCCGGCCTTGCTCACGGCCTCCATCTCCTCAATGGTGGTGTTGAGCGTCTTCAGGAGGCCTGAAGGCAGAGCCAGCGGCTCGGTGCCGAGGACAAGGGGTGTGACCGGGCCTCACCCGTGTGCGGGGCCCAGGGGCCACGGACAGCAGGGTGGGCCTACCCTGACGCGCTCTATGTCAGGGAGGTGTAAGATGAGTGACGGGCACAGAGCATCCTGTGGCACGGGCACTTGCGCATGGCAGCCGGCAGCCCCGGGGACTCCCCGCTGGGCAGTTACCAGGTTCGCAGGCCATTAGGGGCCACGGCAGCCTCACCCACTCCCTCGCCTGCGGAGTAACCCCCCATCCCACGGTCCTGTCGGGGAACCAGAGCGCCCCCTCCTGCTTCACAGGACAGCGCCACCATCTGCCTCCAGGACCACCCCGTCCATCGGCTGGGCCACGGGCCACCCTGCCTGGGACAAGCCGCCTCCGGCTCCCCGTCCCGCCCCGGGCCTGAGGGGCCCCGGGGAGGGCGAGCGGCCACCCCACCACGCACTGCGGATGTTCTTCACTTGGCCCTGCGTGATGGAGTCGAAGTCGATCTCCATGAGCGAGCGCAGGAAGTTGGGGTCGGACATCATGCCCTTGGCGGTCTTCCAGTTGAGCTCCTTGTAGCCCTTCATGATGAGGATGCACTCGCACACCGTCTGCACCTGCTTCGGGGGCTTCGCGAACGACCTGGCGGACACAGAGGGGGGGGAGTGCACGGCCTCAACAAGGGTCCCGGCACCTGCGCACCAGGCTAGGCCCCTGCCGCCACGACCGGCTGCTTTCTGGAGTGACGCGGGGACGAGCCGAGGGGGAAGCGCCCTGCGGTACCTGATCTCGGTCACGTCCGACTTGTCCAGCTTCTGCAGCTCCAGCTTGGCCGCCTCCAGAATGGGCATGACCTCGGCGAGGGCCGTCTCGGCTTCGGCCTTCTCCACGGCGATGATCTTGTTCTGCTCCTCGATGTCCATGGCCTTCTCCTCCGCCAGCTTCTTCTTCTCCTCGGCTGGGGGCGGGGTTAGAGGCTGCTGGGTGTGGGGACGGCCCCGCTGTGAGCCAGAGCAGTGCAGCCCTGCAGGGTCGCTGCTGGGCCTGGGCAAGGTGCGCCCCCTGGACGCCGGGCCTCCACCAGGACTGCTGCTCTGCCCGACCTCCAGCCTCGCCCACCGCTGCAGCCCACGTGACAGCGCCGGCCTGCCTGTTCTGAGCCTGCGGGCACCTGGCTGCCCTCCCTGTCTCTGGCTCGCTGGGGCCTCTCTGCCTTTTCATCGCCCCTTTCCCATGTGCGTTCAGGCTCAGCTCAGAAGCCACTCCCTGTCGTGGCCTGCATGCTGCTCCCGTCTCACTCTGTGCCTGCTTCATGGCACCGTCCGGCCCGGACTCAGAGCTCCCTGGCGGCTGGCTGTGCGTTCCCTTCCCACACACAGCACCTCCCGAGGCCCACAGGAGGTACCCGGGGGGAATGATGTTCCCCCCAATGCACGCCCACCAGAACCTCAAAACACCACCTGCTGTGGAAGTGTCTCTGTCGAGGCACTCAGTTCACCTGAGGTGACAGTGGGCACCCATTGCTGTGTTCTTGGTAAGGCCCCGAGGGTGCAGAGATGGAGGAAGAGGTCATGTGACAGAGGTGGAGGAGGCATCTATGACCGAGCAGTGCCCAGGGCTCCTGTGGGGGCCGCCCCGCCCGCCGCGCTCACCGATGGCCGTGTTGGTGGCGATCTCTTCCAGCAGGGCCTCGCAGGCGCTGGACTTCTCGGCCAGCACGATCTTCTGCTCGGCCAGCTTCCTGTTCAGCTCGTCCAGCTGGATGGAGGCCTCCTTCAGCTTGTCCAGCCCACCCTCCAGCCGCTTGCACTGAGCTGAGGAGAGATGGCCTCCAGCAGTCAGCACGCCAGTGGCCTCGCGGTGCCGCGCCCGGCCCGGGGTCGCCGGGAAACACCTTCTCATGAAATGCCAAGCGCCGCCCGGCACCTCCACGGCGGGAGGTGTTGGCATGGCATCAGCCAAAATGAACGCATTTCTGAAAACAACCCTTGGTCTGGCCAAGAGTCGCAGCATTTTTTAAAAAGCTTTTCCCAACAAAGAAAGTACGAAAGGACTTAAACCAGAATCAGGTGGAGATGGCCTCTATGCAGAGATGTTAGGAGCGATTGTAAATGTCCCTTCCCCGGCTCGGAAGCTGTACCTTAGCACAATGGGTGTCTCAGGCTCGTCCTTTTCAGTAAGAAATGTTAGGAACTAAAAGCATCCGAACAGAGCACTGCTGCCGCCCGGTCCCCGCAGTGCAGGGCATCAGAGCCGCGCGGGCTCACAGCCCCACCCAGGAGGTGACCTCCCTCGGAAGCACCGCCCACAGACAGGGTCAGGGTCTGGATCGTCAGTGATGACGTGCCCGCAGCCACGCGTGCCCAGGCTCACCTATGTTGAACTGCGTTTTCTCGTCCAGTAACTTGGAGTACGTGCTAATGAAGTCCAGGTAGTTCTTGGGGGTGACGTAGTTGCTGCGCCTCAGCTTCTGCAGAAACTGTTTGCTGAACTCGCCCACGGACCCGTGGACCAGCACCACGTGTTCCACCAGGTCTTCTATGTGCTCTTCTGGGATCATCGTGTTAGGCCCTAAAGAGGGAGGGGCGGAAAGCGGGCCTCCTTACGCAAGGACAAGAGCAGGTCCTCGAAAAGTTAAAGAACTCCCTGGGGAACCAGCAATTCCGCTCCAGGCTGTCTCCCCCAAACGAGTGAAATCCGACACAAGCAGGTTCTCAGACGCTGATGTTCACAGCAGCGGGAGTCCCAGCAGCCAAAGCAGAGGTGGCCTGTGTCCAGCCACGGACGATGGGTGAGAACGTGGTCCATCCACACAACGGAATGATGGTCCTCCTGAAGGGGAAGGCATGCCCGCAAGCAGACAGAGGGACAAGCGTCGCACGCCTGACTTACATGAAACATCTGCAAGAGGCACATTCGCAGAGACGGAACGCAGGTGGTGGTGACGGGGAACGGGGGAGGGAGGAGGACGGGAATCAGGGCTAAGTGGGCACTCAGTTGTGGGTGGTGGCGGCGGCACAACAACGCGAATGTACCTAATGCCAGTGAGCTGTGCATGTAAAATTAGGTAAAAAGACAAAGTTTACGTTATATGTAACAGTGATATAAAATTTTGAACCAGTCAAAAACAAGACCATTGTCACTGCCGGCGGCCACTCTGGGCCACGGTGTGCTCCCCACAGCAAAATGGCCTCTGAGAAGCGGACAGCCCTCCTCCTTTGTCCCTCCCCCGCCCTGCCCAACTCATGACAGGGGTGTTACTTACTGACTAGGTGTTTGCCAGTGCACTTTATGTGGTTACTCCTAGCTGTTAATCCTCTCCCGAGGATATTTTCCCCTTGATGTTTAGAAAGAATGAAGGCTCAGTGGTTGAGTGTTGGCCTATGAACCAGGAGGTCATGGTTTGATTCCCGGTCAGGGCACAGGCCCGAATTTCAGGCTCGATGCCCGGTGTAGGGTGTACAGGAGGCAGCCGAGCCGTGATTCTCTCTCATCATGGATGCTTCTCTCTCTCTCCCTCCTTCTCCCTTCCTCTCTGACATCGATAAAATATATATTTTAACACATTGCGGATGGATCACGAGAATTCCCGCTCCATATTATACAGTGTGTTTTTTTTTATAAAGTGTCATACTTTAAAAAGATATTAGCTTGTAAGAACATGTAATAAATAACGCAACGGGCGTTTAATTTGCAGGCGTGCCTTTAACATCTATGTAAAACATCTTTTGTACTCATTTAATAGAAACGTATCCAGCCATTGGGCAAAGCTGGCAATGAAACTCCTGGCGCACAGTGTGTTCAAAGAAAGCGAGGACAAACTGCTTTGTCACAGCGCCAACGTGGTCCCGTCTGAGCTGCCACTTACCTAGAAATGACTTGGCGACCGCGTGCAGGGCCTGGGGCGGCCAGGGCATGAACCAGTCAATGCCCGTGTTATTCACCAGACCTGGAAAGCAGAGAAACAGGGTGGCTGTGCAACACCGACACACCTTCCATTCCCAACCAATGCGTGTTCGAGATCACACAGCAGCCGCGGTTGCTCCGGCCCAGCGCTGCTGACACGAGGGCAGTCTGGGCACTAGGACGCCTGCAGCCCCTGGCAGCCCAGCGCTGACAAGCCAGTGTGCCGAGGGCCCTGCACCTCCCACAGGCCGGCCCGATCCTGGCACAGGGAAGCAGCGGAAGTGCTGCTGAGCGCACCCGGGGCCTCGCCCTGGGACTGTGAGCTCGTCCTGCTTCCAGGACGGCACCCCCGGGGACAACACGCACTGCTGGCCTCACACTGCACAGCCCAAACCCCAACCCACGACCCGCGTTTCACTTGCAGGTGAAGCCTCAAGTCATGCGTGGCTCCCGAGGCACGGGCCCTGCTGCGGGCGCACCTGGGAAGTTGCGGCACCAGGTCCGCAGGGTGTCGCCCACAGGCGACATGCCCAGGACGATGTGCAGGTTGTTGGCACTCTTGTTCACGAAGTACTGCCACACGGACTCCTTGGCCGGCCCGATGCCCTGCTTCTGCGCCTCCGTGCCAATCTGGCTGAGGATGGACTCCTTCTCCTCTTCGCCGAAGAGCGCGGGCACGATGCCTGTGGGCGAGGACAGGGTTCCCGGGGCCCCGAGCAGGCGGAGCACAGGGTCCCGGGAAGAGCCCGAACAGCAGCTCTGAGAGCCAGGCTCACCCCTTCGAGTCTGTGTCCTCCCCTGTGACATGGGAACCACAAAGGCCTCTGCTTCCCGGGAGGGTTCTCATCTGGGGCAAGTGCCCCCGAGATAGCTGGCCATATGGGGGCCTGTGTTCCAGCCGCACGGCCGCCTCCCCCCCCACCGCGGTGAGCGCCTGCAGGCGGCCGGCACCTGAGGTGAGCATGTTGTTGATGAGCTCCAGGAAGCCCTCCTCCACCACGTGCGCGTCCGTGAACAGGAAGATGGTCGTCTTGTTCTCGATGCCCAGACTCATGTAGAGACTCTTCAGGTCTTCCCGGAAGTTGGTCTCCGAGTAGCCACGGCTCAGGAGGATCTCAAACACCTGCCGGCACGGAGCAGGGCGCTGGTGAGACCGAGCGTGGGGCGGGGGCGGCTCCATGACACAGAACTCGTGCGTCTGCAGGGACTGGACCGCCAGGGCGAGAGCCACCGGTGAGGGATGGAGGAACCAGGCCAACCAGGCGGCCAGGCCGTTTCACACAAGAATACTGAGTGAGAAACTCGGGACCAAAAGCCATCACATCCTTCTGTCACACAGACCAGACGGCACTCTGAGCCTGTACGGGGGGCGAGGGGGGCGGCCAGCACAGGCTGTCCACGCGGCTCTGATGGAGGACGGGCTGTGAGACCTTCGGTTGTAAAAGGGAGCGAGCTGAGTGACAGGGAGGAAAGGCGAGGAGGAAGCCGAGGAGAGCAGCAGTGAAGGGGGGGACGGCGCCCGCACAGCCCTGGGGGCGCACCTCGTAGCCGGCCGTGAAGGCGGCCAGCCGGGCCAGGGACTGCTTCCCGGAGCCGCCGACGCCCACCAGCAGCGCGTGGCCGCGGTCCAGGCGGATGATGCGGTGCACGCGCGTCAGGTGCTCCAGTGCGTCGTCGAAGAGCACCAGGTCCATCCGGGTGTTGCTCTCGTTGTACTCCTCCAGGATCTCCTGCGGGGACCGCGCGGGGGGTTAGGTGTCCAGGAGGCCTGAGCTTGGGGGGAGACGCCCTCGGTGCCTGAGGGGCTGGAGGGTGACATCGGGGGGATCAGGGACCTGCGCCCAACATTCACGATGGAGGCTTCCGTCACCAGCAGGTGGCTGAGCCCACGCTGGTTGCGAGGCTCCACTCGGGAGAGTGGCTCCCAAACCTGGCGGTGCACCGGCTCCCGGGACCCTCCCTGGCTCGGCCTGCGTTTCACACACTCCCCCGCTCACTCCCACGCCCCGCCCGCACCTGGAACAGAGCCTTGGCCGCCTCGTAGTCCTGGATGTCCTCGTAAATGCGCTCCTCCTCCTCCAGCAGCGCCATGCGGAAGTCTCCGAACAGGATGGGGTCCCTCAGCACCACCTCCTCGTCGTCCTTGAAGTACTCCGTGACCAGGTCCGCGATGTACTCTTGCACCTGCGACAAGGGCCAGTGAAGGCAAACCCACCCGTGCGCCCGCAGTGCGGGGAAGCTCTGCCAGGTCAGGGGCCCATTCCCTCCTCCACTTTAGTGCCTAGTCACTGCGTAGCAACACATGGGTTTGCCTGCCCCGCCCCTCCCCGCCGCCTCTCCCCCCGCCCCGGGACCCGCGGCCGGGCCTCTGCGTGGCTCTGCGCACGGACCAGCTCCTTGTCCTCCTCGTTGATCAGCCGGTCGTGGAAGACCCGCAGACACTCGTTCCTCCAGACTCGCACCATCTGAGCCACCGTCTGGAAGCTGCGTGGGAGGGACGCCATCAGCCACACGGCATCGGAGCCGCGGCTGATGCTCCTGTTCCAGCGGGTTCTCGGGTGCGGACGAGGACAGACCCTCCGTGGGCCGCCTCGCCCGCCCGCCCGCTGGGAAGGCTCACTCCCCGTGAAGACTATGCAGTGAAGCCCACAGCGCGGCCTCCGGGAGGCAGAGGAGGGCGCCGTCTCTGAAGGACACGCGTGGCACAGGATGCGCCTGCAGCTCCGCTGGCGGGACCGGGATCTAAAACCAGCACCGGGCACCAGAGCGCTCCTCCTCAGAGCCAGCTCAGTCCCGGCAAAGAGCCCTCCACATCCCCAAATGCCTGGAGCCGCCCCTCCGAGCTGCCAGTCCGAGCGCCTCGAGGGCACCGAGTCGGTCTGGGCTGGTGGGAAGCCTTCACCCGTTTACAGGATGTGGATGTATAATGTGACTCTGCTTACAAACCCACGTGATGTGTTCATTGATGCAAACGTACATGCTCACAAAGAAACACAAAATAAAAACGGGGGAAAGGAACACACCGACCAGGCTAGCCTGACAGAGAACACGTGTGTGCCCAGCTCCCATCCTCTGTGCTTGCTGCTCCACAGACACACAGTTGGCCATTTTAACTGTGAACAATTCGGTGGCAGGAGAGAGAAGAACACACGGGCAAGGGCGGACACGGGGACTGAGAACGAGAGGGCAACAGCGCGGTCCGGCCGGGGACGCACCGTCCCGCCACCCTCTGCCTCCTGCCCCTCCGCCTCCAACCTCGGTCGGACGAGGCAGCGGGTGGGAGGCGGAGGGACAGGAGGCAGAGGGTGGTGAGCGGGCCTTGTCTTAAAGGACCCACCGCTCAGGCTTGGTGAGCACCAGCCCTTGGAAGACCCGCGAGAGGTCGCGCAGGTTGAAGATGTAGTGGAACTTGGACGGGGTGGGCGGCAGGTCCTGCACGATGTCCGTGTAGAGCTGCAGCGTGCAGCGCGTCAGCCTGTTGCTCACGGCGATGATGCTCTCATGAAACACCTGGCAGGCGGGACAGGCGGGAAAGGTGGGCGCCAGAGTCCGCCCACGGCACAGGAACGGAGCCACACCCAATCGCAGGCCGAGGCGCTTAGGGCGCGGCCCTCTCTGCATAAAAACCTATTGTTTGTGGGGGCCCGGGGAAAGGGGAGCCTAATTGGGGCTGGATCACACTCCTCCCCCTCCTGGCTTTGAAAGAAAGAAAGCGTTCACAGCCGAGGAGCACCGCGGCGGCAGCCTCGTGCCCGGTGCGCAGTCGCCCCGCCCGCCCGCCCACGGGACCCGCGGGTGCGAGGCGACGAGGGTCCTCACCGAGGTGTGGCCCCTCAGGATGGAGAAGTAGATGAGGTGCAGGGACGCCTCCGAGGGGAACGGCACGTTGAAGACGCTGAACAGCGAGAGGAAGCGCGGGTCCACCTCGTTGCGGCCGCCGCCCGCCTTGCCCATGGCGGCGATGAAGCCCAGGTCGCGGATGCTCTTGCAGTTGAGCTCCTTGCCGCGGTCGTACAGGAAGCCCTTCTCCAGCAGCAGCTTCAGCAGGGCGATGGGCTGCTGCGTGCCGTACTCGTCCACCTGCGCTTCGGAGGAGACGCGGCGCCTTCGCCTTCACCCCGCGCACGGCAGCCTCACCTCCCGGGTCTGCAACCGCGGGGCCCCCGGGACCCGGCCCTGGGGCGGGGCCGCACAGGGTGCTCCTCGCTGGGCAGCACCGATGCCACAGGAGCGGCTCAGTGCACATGCTGACTGAACGGATGGGCGGAGAAACACGGTGGACGGACGCATGCAGAGGGGCAGACGGATGCATGACAGAGGAATGATGAGTGGGCGTGTGGGTGGGTGCATGGACGGATGGATGTCTAACGGGTAGATGCATTAGTAGATCACAGTGTACAGATGCATGGACAGATGGTTGATGGGAGGATGGAGAGAGGTGTGGACAGATGAGCTGATGGGAGGATGGACAGGTGCACGGACAGATGGGTTGATGGGAGGATGGACAGGTGCGTGGACAGATGGGTTGGTGGGAGGAAGGACAGGTGGGTTGCTGGGAGGATGGACAGATGGGCTGATGGGAGGATGGACAGATGCATGGACAGATGGGTTGATGGGAGGATGGACAGATGGGTTGGTGGGAGGATAGACAGATGGGCTGATGGGAGGATGGACAGGTGCATGGACAGATGGGTTGATAGGAGGATAGACAGATGGATTGATGGGAGGATGGACAGGTGCATGGACAGATGGGTTGGTGGGAGATAGACAGATGCATGGACAGATGGGTTGGTGGGAGGATGGACAGGTGCGTGGACAGATGGGCTGATGGGAGGACGGACAGGTGCCTGGACAGATAGATGAACCCTACTTTGAACAGAGCTCTCTGGGAGGCAGAAGTTCAGGAAGGATGGCGCTGTCTAAGTGACATAAACGTAAAGCCCAGGCCTAAGCAGCTTTGCCTTCGCAGGCTCGAGCTCCTGCCCCGGGGCAATCCAGAGGCTTCTGGGGGCGTGCCTGCCGTGGCCTCATGGACATGGGGCCGAGGACAGTGCGGTACCGAGAGCACAGCTCGTTTGGAAACACCCGCTCACGCACACGTGAGATGGGGCGCAGAGGCCGCCTCCCGCTGCACTGCTCCTAAGGAGCCGAGGAACCCCGTCCAGGACAAGCCCCTCTAAGAGCAGCCGAGGGTCTCCCACGCTCGCTCCCAGCCCTGTGCTCTGCACATGCAGAATGAGACAGGTCTGACTATATGCACTCCCACCACACACACACACACACACACCCCAGCCACGGCCCCGCCCCCTCCCCACCCGTGAGCCCCACAACCTTGGGCATATTCATGTCGTCCATGAACACCAGCAGGCGTTTTCCCATGGGGGGCCCGTAGGTGTCCTTGGTGCGCTTTTCCACGTTGGCTTCTAAGTTCCTCTGGATGTCCAGGGAGGTGGTGCGAGAGGAGAAGTTGACAATCAGCACAATCTGCACAGGAAGAGACGTCCCAAACCGTAAACGTCCGCCCAGAGGCCCCGTCCCTCACAGACGCACCGCATCCACTTCCAGTGCGAGCGGGGCGGCGGCTTCCCTCTCCACAGACTGCAGGGGCAGCAATGAGCAGCCGCCTGTGAGCCTCGGGGACAACACGGCCCGGGTCTCGGCCCTGCTGCGACCTCCAAAGAGCCCTGAGCCTCTGAGGCGCCCTCCGCTGTGGGGCCGGGAGCTGCGCACCCAGAGGACACGCCCAGGCAGGGCAACGCGACACAATGCTGCTCACGTTCGTCTCCTCGCTCAGGTTTTTGAGGAAGTTCTGGGTGGTGGCTGTCTTCGAGGTACCAGACTCGCCGACCAGGAGAACGGGATGCTTGATCTTGACCAGGCGCTCCAGCACCCAGGTTGTGCGGGTGGTGTCCACCGTGTGAACTGCGGGACAGGGACAGCCCAGGGGCAGCGTCACCGACACGCCGGGGGCGAGCGCCATGGGACAGGGCCTGGCTCTCACTCACCCAGGATCTCGATGAACCTCTTCTCGCGGGAGTGCACGTACTCGGGGACCAGCCTGCTCCATGGGACCCACCTCTTCTGGGCGGGATCGAAGTGGAAGTCGTACAGGGTCGGGAGCTGAGCTGCAGGAAGCGACAGACCACGCCACTTGGGTCACAGACGTGGAATCGCACCATCGGCCCGGCACAGGCTTGCAGTGAGCGCACGCCACTGTCCCGGGGCAGCAGCTTCCCGGAGAACTTCCTACGCCCCCCCCTACACACACACACAGACTGACCGGGGAGCAGCCCCCTCACCCGCTGCACACACACTGCACCCGGAGCCAGCGCTGCCGGCCCTGGCAGAGACCTGCGGAGCCCGCCCTGGGATGCAGTGTGGGCAGCAGCCCCGGGGCCTGGGTGGGTGGGGACAGACAGGTAAGCAGGCAGCGGGGCTCCTACCTGGCAGCTCCCCGGGTCGGGCCCACACCCCGTCCTGCTCGGCAGAAGGCAGCGAGGCGATGCGCTTGATGCACTCGTCGAACCGGACGCGGCCGAAGTCCAGCAGGCAGGCGCCCAGCGAGCAGTACAGCGCCTCCAGGAAGAAGCACTCCAGCAGGTCGGGGTCCTCGATCTCCCCTTCGAGGAACGCGTCCAGCATCTTGGTCAGCTGGGTCACCTGTGCACAGGAAGGTGCCCGTCAGCATGGACATCCCCCCACGCCCAGCTCCGGCCACGGACCTGGGGCCCCGGGCCTTCGCGTGGGCTCAGACGGAGGAGCCTGTCTCCAGGGGACCATGGGAAGTGCCTCCCCGCACGGCCTGCAGTGCTGGTCGCCCGCCTGGCGTCCCGCTTCCCCTGAGCCCGCCGCGGGCCGGCCCTCACCATGTTCAGGTCCGTCTGCGGGACGATCATCTTCAGCTTCTCCCCCTGCTTCCCGTCCATGATGCCCTCCACGATCACATCGATGAGGTAGGGCACGTACTTCTCGAAAAGGTTCTGCAGTTCGCTCTGCTCCACCTGCGGGGCAGGGTGCCAGGGCATTCGCCAGGGCTCCGGGCAGGGGTGGGATACCAGGTCCCATGGGCAGAAAAGGGGCTCCTTCTCTCAGAGCTCAGGTGACAAGGCCATGGTCATCGAGCAGCCAGAGTCCATGATGGCCTGTGGCTTTGCCCACTCATGCACTGTGGCCACTTCCATTCCCCAATGGCAAGCCGAGTAGTTACAGAGGAAACCATACGGCCACCAAGTCTAAAATACCAACCTGGTGCCCTTTCCAGAAGAGAGAAAAGCATCAAGCCCTGGTCTGGAGGCGCAAAACCACTCCCCACCTCCCGGCGGAGCGCGATCTGGAAACTGCTAAGCGTGTTTCCACATTCTCACCTAACTTATTGGTAACACTCAGCGCATAAGTCAGGAACAGGTCCCCGCCAACGTCATGGCCTTCAACTACACCCTCCTGGGCTATGCGAGCCCAACCACCCCCACAGCCAGCGGCAGCAGCTCAGTGGGAAGCGGCTGCACCTTGTTCTGTATTTGCTGGACCCATTTCTTCCAGTAGGGCTGGTACTTCAGGTTCTTGGGGTCCACGTAGACCATTCCGCAGCGGGACACAGTGGCAGGGGAGGCGTACTGCAGGTCTCCCACCTGGAGGAGGAGGGGCGCTTGTCTGCGGCTGCTCACCGCGGGGCTGGTGCGGACAAGCCTCGCCTGGCCAGGCTTCACAGCGGCCAAAGCCGCCCCAGGTGAGCAGCCTCCTGCGTCCCCGCCCAGTTTGGGGTTACCCTGGGAAGGTTAAGGTCGCAGATGCAGCACCTGCTAAAATGTCCCGTTCCTATAAGGTTAATGTGGAAGTTAATAGGCTGGGAACACCTGACAAAAATTTTAAAAAAGCATAAAGTGGAAAATAGCTTTCTCCCAAACCCACAACCAAGAAACACATCGCCGGGGAGTGCTTGCTTTTTGGTCTTTTTTTGTTTCCTTTTAACCTGGTTGGTGCTGGGGAGGATAAGACATAGAAAGTATGCATCAGAGCAGCAATATTCACACCCAGGGCCCTCTTCCCACAAACACAGATGCGGGTCTCTCCGCCCTAGAACGAGGCTGCACAGACAGACAGGAGCCAGGCGCAGGCCCCCGGGACGGGGTTCCTCTCTGGCCAAGGGCTTACACCCAAGTTGCAGGCTCCCTGGCCTCGGGTGGAGGCCCATGGGGGAGGAACCAATCGACGTGACTCTCACATCAATGTTTTTCTCTCTGTCTCTCCCCTCCCTTCCACTTTCTCTGAAAAAAGTCAGTGGAAAAAATATCCTCCGGTGAGGATTAACGAAACCAGCACCTCCCTATAAAGAGGATGCAGGCCGAGACCGGTTTGGCTCAGTGGATAGAGCGTCGGCGGGCTGAAAGGTCCCGGGTTCGATTCTGGTCAAGGGCATGTATCTTGATTGTGGGCACATCCCCAGTGAGGGTGATGCAAGAGGCAGCTGCTCGATGATTCTCTCTCATCAATGTTTCTAACTCTCTATCCCTCTCTCTTCCTCTCTGTAAAAAATCAATTAAATATGTATTAAAAAAAAAAAAAAAGATGCAGCGTGAGCAGCAGCCACACAGGGCCACAGTGAAGAGGGTGAGGCGGGGCTGGGGCACAGTGTGCTCAGCTCACACTTCCTGCACAGTCTGAGCTCCTGCAATCGCCCGCCTCGGTCCCACCGTAAGGACCAGCACAGCCGGTCTGACGCCATGCCTGTCACGTGCCTCGAAGAGCAGGGCGCAGTGCGCCTGCAGCCGGATGCGCTCGCCGTTGGCCAGCGTCAGCAGCTTGTTGTCGTCCATCACGGAGTTCATGTTCTCCACCCACAGCGCGTCCACGTCGCCATCGAACAAGATGTACCTGCAGCCATGCCGGCCGTGAGCCGAGCCCAGGTCCCAGCTCCCGCCCTGGGCCCGGGGAGCGCCCCCCTGGAGACGCACTTGCGCTCCTTCTTGTCCGTCGGCTTGTTGATCTCCCGGAAGATGTTGGACAGCACGCCGTCCGTCCAGTCGCGGGTGGTGGGGTCCAGGATGCCGTAGAGCTCGATGACGCTCACGGCCTTGGGGTTCAGGATGTACAGCTTGGTGGTCAGGCCCAGCCTGTCAGAGGAGAGGCCGCGGGAAGGCTGAGTGCGCCGGGACTCGCTGCTCTGATAAAGCGCGGTCCCACCGCTCCCTGGCTCCCACTCCGTGCGAGGTGGCCACCGTCCACCAGCACCACGGCCCAGCACAAGGGAAGTCCACACCGGAAGTCCCGCTGTGGGGGACAAGGAGACAAGGAGAGGCTCATGTGCACACACAGGTGTGCTTGCCCTGTGAGGGATCTAACAATAACTGAGGAGTGACGTGCAGGATATTGGGCATGGCCGCTCACAATCAGGAAGCCACTGCGCCGTTCCCTCGTGAGAAACAAGAGGAGACATGAGAGGTGACGTCACTCGCCAGGTTTCAGACGAGCGGGGAGGGTTAGGGCCACAGAGATGCCAGGCTCAGCCTGGTCCTGCTGCGTGCCAGCTGCGCCGAGGCCTTTCCAGCATCCAGCTCCTCTTAGGACACAGGGAGCGGCCAGAATGCCCAGGTCACAAGGAGACATCACGCCACAGGTCATGACCTTGTAGAAAGTGACCTTAGAAGTGCGAGGTCACTTTCCCGCCAGCAGCGTGGCCCCTGCAGGGCTGGCAGCCATGAGGCCTGTGGGGCGGGGCTCTCTCTGTCACTCTGAGGCCCCGCTGACTCTCAGAGTCACCTGACACCAAGAAGACATGACCTAAGTGACCACTGAGCAGCCGCATAGGAGAGCCTGTGAAATGCTCCTTCACAGCCACTCACGGTCTGATGCATGAGTCACTGTTCCGCCTTCTAAAACACGTTCAACGAACCGCAGTAAGACAGGAGGTGCGGTGACTTTAAAGGGGTGTTTGGGACAAACTTGACCTTCCGAAATCAGAGCCGCCCAGCCGCCAGGCCCCGCCCAGCCACCAGGCCCCGCCCCGCCCATGCCAGGCCCCACCCATGCCAGGCTGCAGGGCACACTCACTTGGTCTGCGCCTGGCACAGGGTGTTGATGACCACGGACTTGCCGCCTCCCGTGGGCCCCACCACCATCGTCGTGTGGCGGGTTAGCATGGTCTCGTACATCTGAATGACTTTATCCACCTGGAGACCAAGTGCGCAGCTGGGTTAACACACATCTTCTTTTTTTAAATAGCTCCACCGAGCTGTGATTCACACACCACACGATTCATCCGATAACAGTGTACAACTAGGTGGTGCTCAGTGCGTCCCACGGCGGGGAGACCGTTACACACGGAGACCGTTCCTCTCACCGCCCTCCTGAGGACCCTGCACTCACCGGCCACTCTCCCGCCGGCACCCACTCACCCCGGTGTCCCTCAGCAAGGCCACTTTAACCTGGTAAGTGTGATTCGGGGAGGGGGCGGTGGGCTGGGAGAGAACATTAGATGGTTGGACCCCAAACAAAATACGTAAGTTCTCTGGTGACATTATGCCCAAAAAATCCCAAACCAAAAAGCCTGGACGGCGGTCCCTCCACACAACAGGATTCCGCTCACCTTAGTAAGGAAGGAAGCCCTCACGCCTGGGGGCAGGAAGGCACCGTGGGGCGCGGTGCCAAGGAAACACGGCAGGCACGGGAGGACACAGAGCGTGTGACTCCGCGGGGAGGAGGGGCTGAGGGCAGGCTCAGACGGGGTGGATGGCGGGTCCCGGGGCGGGGTAGGTGACACAGAGCTGGTCGGGAGGATGAACCGGCCTGGAGATGGTGGCGGGCGGGGTGGCCGGGCAGCACGGGGATGTGGCAGGGTCCTGGACTGGACACTGAGAGTGGCACCTTGGATGGCATCTGTGCTCGGCCGCCACTCCAGGAGATAACCGGGGGAGGAGAAGCCCCTACCTGCACCGGCAGGATCACAAAGCCATTCTCCTCGAACACCTGCTCTACCGCGTCGTTGAAGCTCGGGTAGCGCACGCGCGGGCAGTCCATCCCGGGAAACAGGTCGGAGATCAGGCCGAGGAACAGAGGGACGTCCTCGAAGACGAACTTGGGCAGGTTCATGTCGCGAAGCGCCCGCATCAGCACCACATCCTGGCCGGAAGGAAACACGGACGTCTCGGGGCGTTTCCCCCAGGCCCGGGGCTGGGCTGGGAGCCCCCTTTCAGAACTGGGTGGCGTTTCACCCCGCAGAGTGCTTCCCGGGAGCACAGGCCGCTCCGCGTAAAAGAAACCCAGCCGCACCTGTGACCGCAAAGGGGGCAGCACGCATGTCCGTGCCTTGGGAGAGCCTCGGGTCCCAGCCTGCTCCCGCCACCCTGCACACCCCACAGGAAGCCTCACACACTCAGGTTCTGGGAGACACTGAACTTGACCTCACAGCCATCAGGCCAATTAGAAGCAGACAGGCCACATCAAGGCCGGAAAGCAAATGGCACAAAGGCTAAGACGGAAACTGAGCCGCCTGGCCCCGCACACATGCGCCCACCTCCTTCAGCTCAGAAGAGCCTCTCTTCAGCTCGCCCGCCATGACCAGCACCGACTTCAGGGCTCGGAGCCCGAAGTCGTAGTGATGCTGCTTGGAGAGCTGCTCCCGCGCCAGCTTGTACAGGACAGTCATCTTCTTGGCCAGAGTCTGCGGGAAAGATCGAGAACATAAAGGAAGGAAGTGACCCACAGCGTCCACGTGAAAGCTCTCCGCGGGCACGCACGGCCGCCTCTGCAGGACATAGAGGGCCCTTCCCCTCCCTGTGCACGTCAGGGGCCGGCTCAGAGGACGCCCGGGCGGCGTGGCCCGAGCGGAGTGCAGACGCATGAACCAGGAGGTGCCGGGTTGTGGGCTCCGTCCCAGGAGGGTGTGCAGGAGGCAGCCCATCGATGACTCCCATCACTGACGTCTCTGCCCCTCACCCTCTCTAGCACGGCTCACCTTGGCCGCCAGGAAGCCCTCGGAGAAGAGCATGATCTCGCAGATCTGCTGCAGGTCGGGCACGATCACCACCACGGGCCTGAAGAGCGCCTTCACCGATTCGGGCAGCTCCGTGCGGCCGGCGTAGCCGGGGTTCATGGTGATGAAGATGCCCATGCGCGAGTCCAGCGAGATCTCCTGCCCTTCAAACTGAGGACAGGAGGGGTCGGGCTCCGGCCGCCACCGCGGGGACAAGGGGCTGGTGGCTGAGAGCCTGTCCGATCCCTGGGCACCAGGCGGCCCTGTGCTTGGGCCTGTGTCTGGGGACAAGCCTCGGCTGCCAGGCTGACCTGAACCAAGGCTCCCCACCCGAGAGGCGGGGGGGGGGGGGGGGGGGCGCGCGTGCACAGCCTGGAGGAAGGCAGCATTCCCGTCACGCCATTCCTGCGGAGGACGTGAGGACTGACGGTCACCTGGGAGCCCCCCTGGGACGCAGCAGGGCCCCGAGGACATGGCCTCGCCCTCATGCTGCACCACGTCCCGAGAGCGCTGCTCTGCTTGCCCACACCCAGTTACACGTGAAGCTCCGGAATGTTCCTTAGTCCTCAGTTTGGGGAAACCCACCCGTCTGCTTAGAAAACAAACCCGCCGCTGAGCCGGGAGAAAGCCTGGTCTGACGCGGTCACAGGTGACCCCGCAGCGTCCGCCCGGGAGCGGCCAGCGGCCGGCCTCACCTGGAACGTGGTGAGCTGGTGCATCAGGGCGTTCCGGATCGTCTGGATCTGAGACGAGATGACGGACAGCACAGAAGCGTCGATCCGGTTAAACTCATCGAAGCAGCCCCAGGCCCCACACTGAGCAAGGCCGGAGAAGATCTTTCCGACGGCCTGGGGTGGGACAAGGTTGGGACAAGGGGTTTATCTTCAACGTGGCGGGTGGCACGCGATGGGCACCCCAAAGGGACGGGGAAGCAGCCTCTGGCCGCCCCACTCATGGATCTTTCTGGCAAGACTTCAGAGGCCCCTCGCGGCCAGCCCCCACTCACAGGACTTGACAAATTAAAAACTGTGACGGTTAGCTCCAGGTTTCTGGAGTGTTCTTCAAATTCTGGAAAACCCAGCAACACTGGCTCCACTTCTCCACTGGCTACCAGGAACCAGAGCTGGACGGCGGCCCTCAGCTTGAGCTGTGCTCAGCGGGCCAGTCCTTGCCCTGCTCCCTGCTGCCAGTGCAGTCAGCAGCACTACCTGCCTCTGCCGGGCTCTGAGGTCCAGACACTTACGCCCAGGCTGCCGACAAAGCAGAGCCGGGCGGTCCCGAGCTGCGGCAGCACAAGGCTCTCTCTGCGCCGCCCGCTGCCCAGCCAGGCATGGATGTGCGAGGGCCCCCCGCCCCCTCTGCCCAATGCGACGGCACCGGGAGGGGCGCCCAGGCCTTACTTTGTAGTCCATGCCTTCGCCGCAGTTGGTCACAACACAGAGCAAACCCAGGGCTTTGGCCAGGTCCTTGGTGGTCTCGGTTTTGCCAGTCCCTGCGGGGCCGGCGGGGGCCCCTCCCAGATACATGGACAGCGCCTGTCAGAAGCCAAACGTGGATCATATGTTGCCTGATTCCTGCGAGGAGATGTGCCATTTCCCCGTTCAGCACCCGAGTCTGAGACGCAGGCGTTGGCAGGTGCTCACCCGCAGAGATGCGAGGAGGGCTGTCTGCTCTGCCGGCTCCGAGCACCCCGCCTCCTCCTCCACCTCCTCCCCCCGCATCGCGTGCCTCCTGCCTCTCCGGGACACCAGGCACCGATCGGGCCAGCCCTTCAGCGCTAAGGCTGCACAGAGCCTGCTTCTGAGCAAGGCCGCCCCTGAGGCTCCGACGGACATGAATCTGGGGAAGACACTGGCAGCCCGGGGCTCGGTCACAATCCCCACGGCCACGTGTAGAAAAACACAGGCCCACAGGCAATGGCGACCACAGGAGCCCGCTGTCCGCCCGCCCGCCGGCCGGTCACCTGGGTCAGCGTCAGGTAGATGCGGTCAGTGAGGGGCGTGATGACCAGCCGCCCGTTCAGCCCCATGTACTCGTAGCCGTAGCCGAAGGTGCCCGTGCACTGGCGGATGTTCAGCTCGTCCGGCTCGCGGTCCCAGTAAAAGCGCAGCTGGCTTTCCCACTCGAACTCCTGGGCGTCCAGGATGCTGGGAGGCGAGACGGAGTGGGTGAGCGGGGAGGGGGCCGGGGGTGGGGAAGGGAAGGCGGACACCAAGGGGCAGGAGTGATGGGGAGAGCCACCTGGCCCTGATGAACGAGTCCACGATGTCGCGGGCGTGCACGTCGATGATGAGCTCCGTGTTGTACTTCTTGCGGTCGTTCTTCTTCAGCTGCATGGTGATGCGCGTGACCAGCTCGTCGATCTGCCGGTGCATCTTCCTGCCGAAGGACTTCATGGCGTGCTTCTCGCCCTTCTGCACCTGGTGGAAGACGTCCTCCACCTCCCAGGTCCACCACACCTGGCAGGCGGCCAGCACCATCATGCCCTGGTACAGCAGCATCCAGTCCACCCTGCGGACAGCACCGAGCTCAGGCCGCTGCCGCCAGGCACCCAGCTCAGCTCCACCGGGAGAACTTCCTCTCTCGGGTCCGGACTGGGGCCGGCAAAGGGCAACATTCAGGCAAAGCTCTCCTGGCAGGACAGGGAGTCCAGCCGGTGTGGCTCAGTGGCTGAGCATCGACCTAGGAACCAGGATTCCCGGTCGGGGCCCAGGCCCGGGTGTGGGCTCCATCCTCAGGGGGGGCGTGCAGGAGGCAGCCGGTCCGTGATTCTCATCATTAACATTTCTCTCTCTCTCCCTTCCTCTCAGAAATATGTAGAAATGTACTTCTTAAGGTAAGAATAAATACAAATAAATAAATAAAAAGATGGGGAAATGCCAGGCCACGTGCATGCCAAGGTGGGGGGGGGGGACTTTGGGTGCAGAAAGGGGTGGCGTGGGCATTTCCCAGTTAATCAGGCTGCATCCCCTCTTGTTCGCCAGCCAAGCGCCAGGCACAGCGCTGCCCTGGCAGAGGGCAGTAATGACACAGATGAAACAGCGTGGCTTAAAATTCCAGCGCCTGGGAGCGTGAGAGAATGCACGCTCAGCGGTCACTGCTCCCAAGGGGGAGGTGCCCATTCGGTCAGCTTTTGGATGTCATCTGGGACAGCGCTGAGCCCAGAGCCAGGGCCACAGAATGACAGCTGGGCGGACAGAACCCTAATGTACGAGACACCTCCTGTCCGCTCACAGAGCTAACTGCCCAGTGGTCAGTCAACCCACCCCCGCCCTCAGCGTGAACCCATCGGACGGTCCCTGTGAGAGAGGAGCACATGGAGGCCGCGGCCGTACCTGCTTCTGTCCTCACAGTATCTGTAAATGGCCTCTTTGGTGATGAGCCTGTTGGTTCTGCGCATCTCGTTCAGAACCGCCGTCATCCAGTCCTCCACGCGCCCCTCGGCCCGCACCGTCCTGCGGAACTCCATGACCTCCCCCTCCGCGGAGATCATGGCGGACACCAGCTTCTCCCCGCTGTCCCCGTCCTGGAACCTCAGCGCCGCTATGTTGTCATACATCTGCAACACAGCAGGGGGCGCCCGTGACCCGGAGCCCGCGCTGCGGCCCAAGAGCAGCCTGGAGGGGCACCTGAAACACGTGACCTTCGCCCAAACGCCCGTTCACGGGACATACACGCACACGGGCACTGACTACTGTCCTGCGCTGTGCGAAGGTCTGCAGTAAAAGAAAGAGCCCCAGCCAGTTACTCAGTGGTTAGAGCCCTCGGACTGAAGGGTCACAGGTTTGATTCCCAGCCAAGGGCATATACCTCAGTCACAGGCTCGATCCCCAGCCCGGATCAGGGCACAGGTGGGAGGCAACCAATCGCTGTGTCGCTCTCACACCCGTGTTTCTCTCCCTCTCTCTCCCCCCCACTTCTCCCTCCTTCCACTCTCTCTAAAAACCAATGGGAAAACATTCTCAGCTGAGGATTATGAAGACAAAGAAAGAGACAGATTCCCTTCCCACATCTGAGATTCTGGAGTATGTGCTGGTCTGGAGAGATGTGTGGACACATGTATGAACTGAGCACAGGAGCGGGGAGAGCCAGGGGCTGAAACGCCGAGGGCTGAAGGATGAGCCCACTGGGTCACGTGGGCAGATGCTTCTCCTCTCTCGGCCGGAACAAGCACAGCCACGGCCCTGGCAGATGAGGCTGGGAGGACTACCCAGACCGTGCGGGAGGCCGGCACGCCAAACCTGCCGTTCGCTGCCTATCCTCGCGGCCGGGCACCAGAACCCGTTCGCTGCCTATCCTCGTGGCCGGGCACCAGAACCCCAGCCCCCGCAGGCGCCCCGCCCCCCGGGCCGGCCGACCTTGATCATGTGCTCCTGGACGCAGAGTGGGTCGCTGCTGCCCAGAATGCTGAGCAGCTCGTCGTCGGAGATGAAGAAGAAGCGAGGGAACGCGTTGCGCTTGGAGTCCAGGTAGTCGTTGAGGCTCTTCTGGCACTTCTCCAGGCCCTCGCTGATGTGCTGCAGGTCCGAGAGGCGGTTCGGGGCCTCGCAGCATCTCTTGATCACGGGGTCTTTCAAGGTCTCGCCCATGATCTGGACAAGGTCAGAGGATGGAGGTCAGACACTTGCCTGCGCCCGGGCTCGACAGAGAGAAACCCACACCCAGGAACCACGGTCTCTGGGGCCAATTCTCATGGGCAGGTTCCCTTCCGACAACCTACAGCCAGGAGTTCATCCTGAACGTGGGAACATGTCAGGCACAGCCTGCGAGTTACTGACGAACACAACTGTGTCCTCATAAGATGCCTGAGGAAAGGCATTAACACACTTCCTCAGCTTCACGGTATGAAATACATGTCTCCTTATTATATATCCTAAACTATGACATAAAATTACACAAAATGCCACCTGTAATGGCTCCCTAAGCCCACCTACGTAGAAGAAGATATTTTTAAATCTGACATAAAAGTGGCCGAGTTCAGGGGATGGCACTCTGGGGAGAACTGTGGAAGATGCATCTTTTCTTCATTTTCCAGTTTGCTTTTTTAAAGCAAGTGTTACTTTTACAATAAAAACAAGTAAATACTCAGAAGAGCCACAGGCCAGCAGCCACAGCTCACACAGGTGCGCACAGGGCAGATGGAGGCCACGCGTAATGACAGAGCATCCAGAAGCTGGAGCGGGCGGGACGCCACGTGGAGGTGCGTGGCGCCCAGCCCCTTTGACTTGCCCTTTTAAACACTTTGTCGATGTTGTCGAATTTCTTGGCCTCCTCCGGCAGCTGCGAGCGGATGTCTCCGCCGATGAAGATGCTCTCCAGGTACATCCACTTCCTCTGCACCAGCATCCAGATCTGCGCGCAACAGGACCTTGGCCGGCGCCCGCCGCGAGGTGCGGGGGGCACCCCCCCAGCCCGGGAGTGTATGGGACGTGCGTGCCGTGTCCCTCAGAACCATTTAACCACAAAGGAACACCCGCTGCCCCCACCCCACCGGCGGCTGTGGGCCGCCCCCCGCCGGGCCCCGCCCCCGCCGGCCTCACCTCGATGACCTCGCCGATGAGAGAGAGCGTCTTCTCCCACTTGTGCACCGTCTGCAGGAAGGGCCCCACGAAGCGGCTGCCCGAGATGCTCTGCAGGTTGAACGTGTTGTCGTCCAGGCACTGGATGATCTCGTCCACGGAGCCCAGGATGTAGCCGCGCTCCTGCGTGCCCTTGAAGTACTTGACCACGGAGAACTTCATGCTCTCCCACGTGTCCAGGATCTCCTTCACGGCCTGCCGGGAACGGGATGGGGGGGGGGGGCAGAGGGGCGGCTCGGCCCGGAAGCGGAAACCAAGCAGGACCCCGCCCATCGCAGCCCCTGAGCCTGTCCGGGGTTCCCCGAGCCCGGGGTCTGGGTGGTTTCAGAATAAGCAGAGGCGGCATGGAGAGGCGGCCTCTCTGGCGAGGACTCCATCCGGTAAGCGTGCTCCCTCGTGGCCCACGCTCTAGTTCGGGCGCGAGCAGCGCTGTGTGGCGGCGACGCCTCCCCCGCCCCCGGCCCGCCCGGAAGCAGCCCACCTTCTCGATGGCGATCTCCTTGATGGCCGCCGTGACGATCTCGTTGAGGACGTCTGCATGCTTGTCGAGCTCCATGGCGAACATGTTCTCCAGGGTGAACGTCTCGGTCATCTCGAAATACACGCCTGTCTTTTCCATGAGCTCCTTCCAGTGCCTGGAACACACGGACAGCCGAGCATGGCGCTGGGTCACCCCCCGCCCTGGAGTCCCGGGCGGTCCCATGGCGAGCGCTGCTGGGACGGGACTCTGAAACACGAGGACGGCCTGGGACTGCTCCCCAAGCCCCGGGGGCGCCCAGGAAACATGAGCTATCTACGCGGGTCCGTGTTTCCCTGGACGGCGTCTAAAAAAACCTCTGGGTGAAGAAAGTGCAAACGACACCACCCCTGACAGGTGGCTTTCTGCCGGAAACGGGGACCCTATGGTGGATCATCTCGCAGGAAGTTCACAGAACAACATGCCACAGAAACAGCCTCGCCCCTGTCTACTCGGCACCGAGCCCTCGCTCTCAGCCATCAGGTCTCAGAGAGACACAGCCTGAGCTCGGAGCTCAGAGGCCCGGCCCACCTGTCCCGCAGTGCCTCGTGCTTGAGGTCCAGCAGCAGGGGGATGGAGTCCTTGAAGGCCTTCATCTTCGCCTCCAGGTGGAAGGCCACGGCCAGGTTGCGGACCATGCGAGGGAACTTGCGCAGGGTGCGCAGGAAGCCCTCGATACCCTCCTGCAGGAACTGCACGTTCAGGTTGATCCAGAGCGTCTGCGACCACTCCTCCTTCGCCACCTGGGGGGGAGGGGGCATCAGCGACGCCCTTGGAAGCATGAAGGCAGCGGGACCCAACCGTGACCTCTTGGTGCGTGCGTCAAAACCACCACTGAGCCACCCGGCCGGGGCCCTTTGAGCCGTTTTTAACTGAGCCGGCCAGTGACATCAAGAACATTCAGTGCTGTGCGGCCATCCCCACTCTCTAGTTCCAGGACCTTCTCATCACCCGAAGGGAAACCCCGTCAGCCGTCTCCTCGTGCGGCTCACCTTCAGCGACTCGTAGAGCTCGTAGATCATGCGCAGCCCCGTCATCTCCTTCTGCACCTTCAGCAGCTCCGGGTACATGGTGATCGGCAGGTCGAAGAGCTTCTCCGCGTTGGCCAGCTCCTGGCGGTTCTTCTCGTGCCGGCCCAGCTCCCTCTCGAAGCTGCCCAAGAGCTCCATGCCTGGAGGGAGGCACGGGGCGGGGTACACAGAGAATTTAGGGGTGCAGACCGGAGGGGAGTCATGCACGAGGCTCATACCCCATCGCTGCACCCCCCGGCACTGTCAGGGAAGACCCACTGGGAATCACTGATCTCGTCCACTTTGATCGTACCTGACACCGGGGCCACGTCACCAGCCAGCCCCTCCGTTAGAACTCTGGGCATGCTCCCTCCTCTCCAGGGTCCCCGCCTGGCAGGGGCCTCAGAAGCCCCCCTCAAACTTCTGAGGCCCCTGCCAGGCGGGGACCCTGGAGAGGAGGGGCTTTCAATGTGACCAGCCCCCGACCCCAGAACAATGGGGTCAGGCAGTCAGGACCAGCCCTGCATTCGTGGTTTTCCCAGCTGCCCCAGGTGGACCGGTACGGGCAGGCTAAGAGCCACCGCTCCATCCCGTCTCCCCTGGCATCGCCATGGAAAGTGAACTCCGCTCAAACACCTGGAGGACCGAGACGCTTCTTACCGCTGTCCAGATCTTCCCCCACCGAGCCGGGGCCTTCGAGGTAAAACCGTTTGGCAAAGTCCTCGATCTGCTGCCTGAAGTTCAGGATCTCACTTCGGGTGATCTGAGGAAAGCGGGGGGCCTTCACTCGACCCCGCGGGGGCTCCCTAGTGACCGCGCCTCGGGGAGCACCAACGCGACGCTACCTCCGTGAAGGTCCTCTTGATGCTGCCGAGAGCGTGCTCCGCGTTCACCGAGTTGGTGAACAGTTCCTCCCACATGCTCTCAATCTTGTCCGCCAGCTCCTTCTCCGAGCTGGAGGGCTGAGGAAACAAGAAGAAGAAGAATTAAAATAAAAAACAGAACAAACAGTAAGGGGTCAGCATTTGGAGGTGAAACGTGTGGTCAAAGCTACTACCCGGGGACTTGACACGCTAGAACCAACAACACAGCTGGTTGGGTGATAAAAGTGACACTTACATTAAAAATTATACTTTTGTAATTAAAATTAACTCAGGGTAATTTTTACAAATAAACAGTTGACACAGAAGGCGAGACAGATAACTGAGAGAATAGAGCTTCGTAAAGTGAAAACCAGCTTCAGATCCACAGCCCAGGCTGGCTAATGCATCCAGTTGTGCTGTCAGAGCAAAGCCACGCCCCCTCTGAAACCACGCCCCTGAAATCACGCCCCCGAGACCCCTGCATGCAGCCTCCAGCGCTCTCTGCAGTCTGTGGGACAGCACAATGCCCAGCACGTGCTCAGAGAGAACAGGAGACGAGGACACACATGACCTGGCTGAGACCAAGGGCAAAAGCTGTGGGACCACGTGGAAGAGACAGCGCGAGGCTGTAGGACACAGGGTTTGGAACCACTTCACTTGACAGAGGGAAGAAAGCAAAAGGCAAAACCGAGAATTTCTGTTGTAATTTTAAAAAATGTAAATTTGGCCTAGTGCGCATCTTCCTGAGGAGAGGTCTCCCCGGTCAGCCCAGGCTGCTGCTCCGGGGAGGCATTCAGAGCCGTCAGCAACGAACAGGCTGCCGTTACTGGAGCCACGCGGGCCCAGGAAACAGGCTCTGAGCTCATGAATCCCAGCAACTGGCGTGGGCTTTCCGTGTACATCCCCTCCCCTCGGGTCACACACCCTCTACGCAGGCGGAGGGAGGGTCTGACAGGCCCGGGGGACGCAGGCGGAGGGAGGGTCTGACAGGCCCGGGGGGACGCAGGCGGAGGGAGGGTCTGACAGGCGCGGAGGGACGCAGGCGGAGGGAGGGTCTGACAGGCCCGGGGGGACGCAGGCGGAGGGAGGGTCTGACAGGCCCGGAGGGACGCAGGCGGAGGGAGGGTCTGACAGGCCCGGGGGGACGCAGGCGGAGGGAGGGTCTGACAGGCCCGGAGGGACGCAGGCGGAGGGAGGGTCTGACAGGCCCGGGGGACGCAGGCGGAGGGAGGGTCTGACAGGCCCGGAGGGACGCAGGCGGAGGCAGGGTCTGACAGGCCCAGGGGACGCGTGTCTCGCTCACGTGCAGGTTGTACATGGCCATGGTGCGGTACCGCTCCTGGACGTCCCTGTACCTCAGCTCCATGACCAGGGACTTGCTCCTCACTTCCGCAATGGTCCCGAGGACAAACTTGAGGTCCTCCAGGGTGCTGGGGCTCTTCTTCAGGTTTCTGCCCAGAACCTGAAACAGAGAGTTCGGCCCTGGCCGGTTCGGCTCTGCGGGTAGAGCGTCGGCCTGAGGACTAAAGGGTGCTGGGTCCCATGCCACTCAAGGGCACGTAACTCGGACGTAGGCTTGATCCCAGCATGTGGGAGGCAACCGATCGATGTGTCTCTCTCTCATCGATGTCTCTCTCCCTCCCCATCCCTGCCTCCCTTCCACTCTCTAGAAATCAGTGGAACAAATATCCTCAGGTGGAGATTAAAGAAAGAAAAGCCAGTCTGGAGGACACTAAACAAGAGGAGACCTGGCCCTCGCGGAAGGTACGCGGCCCCGCCCTCTACCTCCATCTCCTCGTAGAGGCTGTGCAGTTCCTCCCGGGCCGACTCGTTGAGCAGCTTCCCGAGCGAGGCGACCCAGGCCTTGGCGCTCTCCTGCACCGTGTGCGCCAGCTGGCCCAGCTGCAGCCGCACGCAGTGCTCCTCCTTGACCAGGGGCTGGCGCATCACTTCCTGGGCGATCTTCGTGTAGAACTGCAGCTTCTCGTCGTAGGCCACGCACGGGGGCTTCTTGGCGGCAAACTTCTCCATCACGATGGCCTTGTCCAGCTTCCAGAGCGGCCGGTACTTCTTCCACTTCTGCAGGTACTTGGTGAGGTTGACCAGGATCCGGTGGACGTTCTGCGGGATCATGAGCGCCTGCTCGATGATCTGCGGGTTCAGGGAGATGTCGTTGTAGAAGGTGACGGTCACCACTTCCTCCTCCTCGCCCTTCTGCGGGGGGCACTCGATGCAGCTGCCATTCATCCAGCGGACGAAGTTCTGGAAAAATGAGAACAGGGAGAGACGGTACTTCAGTATCCGTTTTGCTGCCTGTGCATCCAGTAGCACACAGTAGCACTGCTTGCTCCCAATGAAAATCACGTTACCCTTGATAAATTGTGCTCCATTGCCCGAAGCACCACCATTCTTGGGTCCTCCACCATCTTCCCACCCAGACCAGTCTGACACTTGACCACCAAGAGGACGAGAGGGCTATTTTAGATGTTTCATTGACTTTAGAGGAAGAGGAAGGGAGAGGGACAGAAACAGAAAAGCACTGAGAGGAACACGGATCAGCTGCCTCCTGCACACCCCCTACTGGGGCTTTAAACTCGCCACCCAGGCATGTGCCCCGATGGGTGACCTTGGTTCATGGTGAGCGCCTAACCACTGAGCCACAGGCCCGGGTCCTCCCGCTTCTTTGGATAAAGGGCGGTCCCTAACAGCAACCCAGAATGTCTCCCAGAGCACCGTGCGGTGGGAGCAAGCACCAAGCCACGGCTGCCACTAACGAGCTCTCTCAATGGCGCATGGCTGGGCGACCATTCCCACTCAGGAGGCCATGAAGCCTGACTTGAACACTCTGGCCCACTGTTTCCAGCAGGGACATGCGGATAGGCCATCCTGGTCCTTAGTCACGTGTGTTCTCGTGTGGAATGGCGCGGGGGGTGTATTAAAGCCACAGAACTGGTCACGCAGAGGAGGGAAGAAAGGGGCCCGATGGAGCCCTGGATGCTCCACAGTCCAGAGCTCCCAGCGGGGGGGGCGGGGGGGTACCCAGAAGGGTCTGGACAAAGACGGGGGCGGGGGGGTGCCGCGGCAGGCTGCTCACCCGGGTGACCTCCACGCAGTTGCGGGCGCAGTGCACGCACATCTTGTCGATCTCGTTGGCATTGGGGTGCAGGATGATCTCCGGGGCCGTGAGGATGGTTTCCGTTTGGAACAGAGGCGTGTTGCCCAGGATGAGGGAGTTGAAGGTCTGCAGGTTCCTGAGAGGGGAGACGGAAGGATGCGGTGTCGCCGAGCAAACACCCAGCAGGCAGCCGCGGGCAGGCTGGAGAAAGCAGCCTCCAGGGCGCCACGGAGTTACATCCCCGGCTTTCTGCCCACAGTTCACACGTTTTCCGAGGTCCCCGCAGCCCCCTAACTGTGCACACGTCCACAGATCCCTGCCGCGGCTCAGCCAGGCGGGGCTCACTTGAGGATGAGCTTGTTGAGCACCTCGTAGACCCGGCTCTCCCAGTACTCGTAGTAGGAGGCCAGCTTGGGCGCCTTGCCCGTGTTGGTGTGGATGACCAGGCCCTCGACCTTGGTCAGCAGCGGCCCGATGGCCAGGTACCACCGGACCATGTAGTCCACGTCCTTGGTCCTCTCCCGGTCGATGTGCTCGAAGAACTCCTTCACGCCTGCGGGGAGCCAGCGTCAGGGAGCACCCCTCCCACCCCACTCCCCAGCGTCTCTCGCGGGGACGACAGACCCAGCCTCCCCATGACCCGCAGTGGAAAGCAGGTCTGCACCGACACCAGGGGGCCAGACCCGACGCCACACTGAGTGGCAGCGTGGCACGGCCATGCAACGTCGGCGCCCAGCAGGCAGCGGTCACGCCAGTGGGCAAGCCTGCTTTTCTAGGCTGGCTTGTTGAACAAGTCAACGTGAGCCATAAGAATTACCCATGATCACTCAGGCACGTGGGTGAGATGTTAGAATGGTTTCATTCCGCTCATGGATTGCTCGTGGGGGGGGGGGCTGTCCAAGCGCACTCACGTGTGCACACATGTGCTTGCATCCCCTCCCCCATCGAGGAAACGAGCCGTGGGCCCACCTGGGAGCTCCTCCTCGGCCTTGGGCAGCGGGAACTTGAAGAGGTTGATGGACTCGATCAGCTTGAGCCGGGAGGCGATGTCGTCCGCATTCTTGTGGATCTGGTGGACCAGGGACTCGAACTTGCCGATGGCCTGCTTGCACCGCGTTATGTAGTCAGAAATCCCTGTGGAGGGAGAGCGAGATGACGCTCAGCAGTGAGGACAGATGAGAGGCTGGAGGGGGGGGGGGGGGTGGTCGGGACGGGAGGGTAGGCAGCTTTCAGCGCGGAGCGGGGAGCCCTGTGGGTGGGGACAGCCTGTGTCCTGGCTGTGGGGGACCAGGTGGGGGAACATGGGATCTCCCCACGCTCATTCTCACAGTAGCGTGCGAATACATAATTGTCTCAAAATTGAAATATTCGTCGTAGAAAGAAAGAGAGCGAGCTGCGGGTCAGCAGAGTGTGCAAACAGCACCCACCTCATCCCCACTCCCACCCGCGGCGTCGGGATGAAGACAGACTGCCCACGGGCTGCTGGCCACACCCGTCGGCACCAGAAAGCAGACCCCCCCATGCTGCCTGCCCGCGGCGCAGGAGGCACCTAGCGAGTTCCAGTTCAGCCTCTTGAACCCGGAGCGGAACGCGCGGAGCAGCTCCTGCGAGTGGTCGTCCAGCAGGACGGTCTCGGCGCTGTTCAGCGTCCCGACCAGCATGTGGTAGTGGTCCAGCATGTTCTGGATGCCCTCCGTGTACCTGCGCGAGCGGGCGGGCCGGCCGGGGCGAGGACAAGGGGCAAGTGAAGCTTTGACCGGGAGACTGCTCCCCAGCCACGGCCCTCTGCTTGGACCGTCTGGTCACTTCTCATTAGAAGCGTCATTGACGTTCCCGGGACAGGGTTTGTTATCGCTGCTTTTAGGTCAATGAGGAAAAAAACATTTTAAACCCTTCCTTCTTATTTCTACAGTAAATGTGGGTCAATATAAAGCCCACAGAAATGCAAGCTCAGGGCCAGGGGCTCCGCGTGATGGTCAGGGTGGGGCAGCCGCTGGGAGGCGTGCTACCTGAGGAATTTGTCCTCCTGCAGGGCCACGTTCCTGGCTAACTCGGGGATGGGAAAGCCCAGCTGCTCCAGGTACTTGGTTTCATTGATGATCTCCCTGAGCGCGAATGGGAAATTGATGGCAAACGTGATGCCCCTGTCGGAGCTCTCGGCGCCGTCCTCAGGGTTGGCAGAAACCTAGGGAGAGACGAGCCTGCCGTCAGCACGGGGGGACGGTCGGGAGGCGGTTAGATCACGGCCACCGAGCGGCACGGGGCCTGGACAGACGGGCCGGGAGCTGGCTGGAACCAGCGCGACTGCACCATTTCACCTGGTGAACAGAGTTTTAATGAATTCCATTTAGCCCCCCAACTCGAAACTTGGGCCACTGAATCCAAAACCCCCCAACTCTAGCTCCCCTCACAACGTGGGAATGCTGATGCTGTGAGACTGGGGGCCGGAGTGAGGAGCGGCGGCCTCGGAACACCCCACACACACCCCACCCCGTCTGTCACTCCCTTCAGGCACGGCAGACCCAAGCCCGCCGGCCCGGCCCTCCCCGCAGCGGGAGGCAGTCACTGAGAGCTGCCATGTGCCGGCCCCCAAGAGAAAGAACAGCGAGAGGCGCATCTCCGAGGTTAAACGTGGGCAACGGCCAGCTGTGCCCTCTGTGGCTCAATAACGCTTATGCCACTGGGCCCAACTCAGGTTGGCAAAGGGGGAAACCGAGGCTGAGCGAAGCTGACGCAGTCCCTGCTCTCCTGCTGCTTCCCCTCGCCTCCCGCCCGGGGCCCGCCCCCGGGGCCGCACCTTCATGAGCAGGCTCTTCTTCATGAGCGTGGGCAGCAGCTGCTCCGTCGTTTCCCTCCACTGCTCGTACTTCCGGTCCTCGTAGTCCTTCATCGTCCTGCCCACTTCCAGGTACTTCAGTCTCACCTGCCCGAACACAGCATTTCCACTTGGCGCTCGGAAATAAGCTTCTCTCTCTCTTTCTGTCTCTCTCCCTCTCTCCTTCCCTCCCTCCCTCTCTCTCTCTTTCTGTCTCTCTCTCTCTCAAAAAGAAATGGCCTACCCACTCTGCAAAAGGAAGCAGACAGAAAGTCACAGATGCCGGAGGGCCTGCTGGGGGCTGCCTGAGCCCCAGGCTGACGAGCAGAGATCGGCAGCGCATTCGGTGCGGCCAGGAACTAAGATGGCTTTCCGTCTTAAAAATGTGTTTTCAGTGGTTCTTGGGGAGGGGGAGGGAGGGAGGGAGCGGGAGAAGGGGGAGTCCCCGCGCACCTCCTCGCCCCGCTCGCTCTCCATGATCTCCTGCACCTCCTGGAAGCGCAGGATGGTGTGCTTGATGCGGTGGAACAGGGAGCGCTCCCAGTAGATGGCGCCCGCCACGGGCGGGTGGTTCTTGTACAGCGGCGGGTTCTCGTGGTTCTGGACGAAGATCCTGTTGACGATGTCGATCTGAAAGAAGCGCCCGCGCCGTGTGAGCCAGAGCCACCGCGTGGCCCAGGCCATCCGGCTGGAGACAGGCCTCTCTGCAGAAATGAACACCGGGACGCCCAGAAATAGTCTAAAGCCGCGTTCTTCTGCTTAACTTACTATTTACTGCTTTTTCGCGTGTTTCCCAGTAACGTTCCTCTTGCTGAACATAAGCTGTGTCCCAACTGCCTCCTAGCTACAGACTGCGCCTCCGTCTGACACTAGCAAGCCTGGCATCTGCTCTGGACGTGGCAGAGGCCTGTGGCAGTGTCACTGGGATCCTGTGAGGACGCACGCACGCAGGGCGCACAGCCACGCGAGGGGATAACTTCCGCTGGGTCACCCCTACTGAACTCTCCGAGCAGCGAGGGCTCTGCGCTGTGGCTGCCTGTGTCACGCGGCACACTGACGTGGGCAGCGCCACACTCGCTGTGACTCTGGGGGAGAGGCCAGTGTGGCTGGCTGTTCCCGTCCGTTACCTCTTTGCAGTACTGCACGAGGATGTCATTGAACTTCATCATCATCTGCCGATTGATGGCCTCCCGTGAGCGGATGTGCTTGAACTTTAGAAGCATGTCAAATGCTGCTTCAGCCGATCGCAGCGTCTTAAAAGACTCGTCAATGAAATTTTTTGCTTCTTTCTCAATAACCTGCCGAAACAAAACAACAACAAAACAGTCAAGAAAACAGGTGCTTCAGGGAGGCTGGTGGGAGGCAGGGATGGCAGATTGGCGCTCGGTTCTCTGCCTGTCCTCAGCCAGCACACAATGGCGGGAAGGACAGTTTTTAAATGTTAACTTATTCGGACAAAGACGTGGGAGAGGGTACAGCGGCAGAGGACACTCTGGAAGGAGCGGCTCTGTGCGAGGCCACGGTGCCCGGCTCTGAGCGAGGCCAGGGTACCTGGCTCAATTTGAACTAATTCATCCAGGGAGAAGTGGGGACAGAGAAGACTGAGGAATCTCCCTTTCACCTTATGCTCTTCTGTATTGTTTCCATCTTTTACAAAAAAGCAGCTATTCACTTTTGTGATTAAAAAAAATACACGCACAAAAACTCAGGAGGAGAACCAAACCACCGACAGGCTTAAAAGGGAGAGCACGGTGTCCGTGTCCAGATCGGTGACGGGTTACTTGCCAGAACTTCGATCTTGAAGTCGTCCATCACATACTTCCAGTAGGGCAAGGACGTGATGGAGAAGGGGTCAAAGGTCAGGCTCTCCATGGGGGTGACCAGGTTGTCCACTCTGCACAGGACGTCGTCGATGCGCTTGGGGTCCCCCGTCACGGCCTTCAGTTCTGGACCAAATATGTTATAAAACTCCTCCATCACCTGCCCAAGCACAGGAGCACCAGGTCACCTTCATGTCGCATCCAACTTTCCTGCGACAAATGGACCGCATGCCAAGCCTGGTCGGGGGGGAGGGACCCTGTCCTGCCAGCAACCTCCTCCCAGTCTGAGCCCGTGGTACCAGACCCGCTGCACACAGGACAGGAGCCAGGTGCCCTGACCAACTGGCCTCGCTTGTGTGCTCGGGCCCCTCCTTCCTCCTCCTCCGTCTCACACCTCGTCCCGGGGCAGCTCCGGGGCCTGCGCCCTGCGCCCTGCAGGGGCCTCAGCATTTCCCAGGACCTGCCCCGGCCAGGAGCTGCAGGGCTTGGCCACGCATCCTGCCACAGTTCCCCCCTGGCCACGTTCTCCTGAGTTCTTGGAAATGCTCCTTCTCAGGCCGGGCCAACTCCCAGGCCGTTTCTTAGACAGAGTGTGACCCATAAATGCAGCAAGAACTTCACGTCTGAAGGTCTACTGCTTTAAAGGAGCTGGTACTGGGCCGGCGTGGTGCAGCGTCAGCCTAGGAACCAAGAGGTCAGGGTTCGATTCCCGGTCAGGGCACAGGCTCGGGTTGTGGGCTCCATCCCCAGTGGGGGGCGTGCAGGAGGCAGCCGGTCCATGGTTCTCATTGGTGTTTCTCTCTCGCTCTCTCCCTTCCTCTCTGACATCAATAGAAATATACTTTAAAAAGGAAGGAAAAGAAAGGAGAGGCACTCGGCCTCCCTACCTGCAGGACGTCGTAGAGATCCTGGCAGATGGTGGACATGTAGTCCGTCCTCTCAAACAGCCGCTTCCGGTCAAACTCCCACCGGGCCTCCCGCCCCGAGGCCTCGATCTTGGCCCTGGTGTCGAAGTAGGCCTTCTTCCACAGGTCCAGCGTGTTCTTGGCCTCCAGCGTTTTGTTCTGGGCAATCGCCCGGTTTTCCCTGCGATCAGAGACCCAGGATGGAGGGAAGGCGGAGAGGCGGTATGGCCGAGCCCCAGGCCTGGGGGAGCAGGTTCCCTGGAGGATTCTAACTGAGGCCTCTTTCTCCAGAAGCTCACTGGGTGGGCAGCTGCTCTGTCACAACGCAAGGGTGGGACAGCAGCTTCGAGGCAGCACTCGTCCGGGGAGCGGGCACGGAGCTCGGGGAGCGGGCGCGGGCAGCGGGCACAGGGCACGGGGGCACGGGGAGCGCACAGAGCACCGAGAGGCAGCGGCGCCGGACTCACTTGAACAGGGTGCGCAGGTTCACCACCCTGCATACGCGCTCGGCGATCTCCCAGGCGATGCGCTCCATGAGGGGGATCATGCGCTCGTCCTTGTTGTAGTGCCGCGAGATGATCCACACCATGCGCAGCGCACTCATCATGGAGGGGATGGTCTCCAGGACCACGTGGAAGCTGGAGCCGTGCGTGATGTTCTGAGCGAAGACGGCGCAAGAGAGAGCAGAGCAGCCAGGTTAGCGCAGGCCCAGGCACGCACGGAGCAGTGCGAGGCCGGCCACTCCCTCTCCCCCACAGGCACTGGGACGGGAACGTGCTGGACAAACAAGACGTTAAACTAGGTCTGCAATTACAGCTAACAAAGCCGTGACAGGCGTGTGTGGCTGTGGGTGTCATGTGTGTCCTATGCACAGATAAGTATACTGAGCTTAGTGGCAAGAGTGTCACCAAATGAATCAAGCTGCTCCTCAGCCGGGGTTTTCCACGCTCCGGGTCCCCGGCAGGAAGTAATGATTTGGCCGGCACTCAGCACCCCCAGAAACACGCTTCTCTCATGTGCATCAGAAGAACATAGAAACTGGCCTATCACACCCATGATGGCACGGACATCATTGTTGAAGGGGAGGCTAGGTTACACACTCGCATACAAACACACACACGCGCGTGCGCACCGTGAGAAACCTAAAGCCAGCGTGCCGACGGCCTGGCCAGCTGAGCCCACCGGCCAGGGCCCCTCAGCGGCGTTAGCCATTGTCACCCCCGGCGCATCCACTAGTTACTGAGTTCTGTGGCCAAAAAATAGACTGTCTCCTGCTGATCTGACCAAAAAGAGACGGCTCTGTGGGTCGCTATCGTGTTTCCTGGGCGGTCAGGGAAAGGGCGCAGTGCCCTGGCTGAAGGCGGGGACGGCATGTTCAGAAGCCCCTGGGCAGGCGCCGCTGAGCACATGGACTCGGCACAGACGCGATGCTGGGGATGAGCCGGCTTCGGGCGGGGACAGTGATGGCGGGACACAGCGAGGATGTGTTCAGTGCACGGACCCACGCCTCCACGTGCTGGCACGGCCATGGCCCTGTGCCCCCGAGCCCGTGCGCATGCCCGCGGCGCACCTTGAAGTGGCGCTCCACGGTGGACAGGAAGCGCACGTTGTCCGAGGCCTCCATGTGCAGCTTGAAGAGGTCCGTCAGCACCGGCTGCAGGTTGGCCACGAGCAGGGAGTCCGACTCCTTGATCACCTCCAGCACCTTCCTGACCAGCGGGAGCTTGGTCTGCTCGTGGAGGGCGCTCAGCGTGGCATTCCTCTCCCTCCAGAACTCGATTTCGGCCAGAGGACCGTTACCCTGGAGGGACACGGACACAGCTGCCGTCCCCGCCAGTGCGGGGGGACAGGGGCTGCTCCTCCTGCCGCAGTGCCTCTGCTCCCCACGGGGCGGATCTGCCCAAGGACGTCAGGTGGACATGTGGCCCAGGAGGGTCCCTCCAGGTGGACCTCAGGACTTCATCGGGGAGACCAGACAGAGCCACATGCTCTTCCTCTGGACAATGGGGGGATGAGGGGCCAGATAAGCTGCAAACCGCGGCCCTGAAGGAAGCCAGGCGGAGAGGAAGCCCCACAGAGAGGAGGCCGGAACTGAGATTCCCAGAGAAACGCAGCCGGGGCCTTGATCAAACCACACCTGAAGCCAGCCTGCCTCTGGACTGCTCAGTTCTGTGGGGCAGCCAATGCTTTCTTACGGAGGCCAGCTGGGCTGTGTCCTGTTCTGGGAGGCCCAACCCTCCTGATTGATCCCAGCATTGCCTTCATCACCCCGGAAGCAGCCTGGCAGCGCAGCCGTCAGAAGCCCCCCCAATGCCTTGGGGACGTTTACTCCACCCACTGAGGCGGTCCCAGGATGGTCAGAAAGGAGGCTGCCCACGGGGACCCCGGACACGGCCCCCGCCAGCTCCGGGAGCAGCCTTGGCACCTGCGGGGTCTTCCTCAGCTGGCCCTCCACGGCCATGGAGATCTGGCCCAGCCAGTTGATGACACACTGCTCCAAGGCCTCCACAATCTCCGGGTCTGCAGCCAAGGCGGACACCTCGCCCTCCACGCTGATGGAGGGCATTTCCAACTTGATCTCCCCTGCGAGGAGAAAGGTGCCGTCAGTGAGGTTCAGGCTGATCCACTGGCTCTTCTCCCCCCACCTCCCCCCAGCCGACCCATGATTCTCTCTCATCATTGATGTTTCTCTCTCCCTCTCTTTTCCTCTCTCAAGTCAGTAAGAATATGTTTTTTAGTCAGTCCGTGTGAGGCGACACATCCCTGCCCTGACCTGTCTCCGTTTCATTAGAGCGAGACAGAAATATTTTAGAGTATTTGTCATTGTTCCAGGGGTGAGCCCGATCAAAGGAATGTAATGATTTACGATGTTCCTGAATTTAAAACCACCAACTTCCGCTTAAAAACTGAGCCCTGGCTGGTTTGGGTCAGTGGTTGGATTGCGGTTGGATTCCAGTCCAGGACGTGTCCCTGGGTTGCACGCTCCCAGCTCTGGTCGGGGCATGCAGGAGGCAACCAATCAATGTGTCTCTCTCACATCTGTGTTTCTCTCTGTCCCTCCCGCTCCTTTCCACTCTCTCTAAAAATCAACGGAAAAAATATCCTCAGGTGAGAATTAAAAAAATTTAAAAAGTAGGGCCAATTTGTTTTAAAAAACAAAACAAAAAACTGGACCAGAAGAATACAGCTAACATGTGTGAGCTTTCCTCATGGGCAGAGTCCTGCTGTAGGGGCCTCAGAGTGCGCCTGGAGGGGGGGGGGGGGCGGGGGCAGCACAGGGCGGGCGGGGGGGCACGCCTGGTGGGGGGAGCATGGTGGGGAGGAGCACACCAGGGAACTTGCAGACCTGTCCTCTGGGCACGTGAATCTGCGGGACAGGAAGTGGGAATACACACACCCAACCTCTAACGCACGCTGACGGGCACGTGAGATTGTTAGAGAGAGAATGTCTCAGCCTTGGTTGTATTTCAGCTCCAGGCCCAGAAAGTTAGCAAAACCCGATAGGCAGCTCCAAGGCCGACCTCAGGACCAGGTGCCACCAACCCACCGTGGAGACCATGGCCAGGAAAGGACTCCCCTGGGAGCTGCTGAGTGTTCCAGGGGATCCTCCCGCGGGACCTCCCCTGAAACCTCCCCTTAACGCCCTCAGGACGGAGGACCCTCCCCCTCCCTTCTCCCCAGACACCTGACCTTCACCTTCCACCGGTCTACACTGCCAGGGCCCCCTTGGCCTCTGAAACTGTTTCCTGAGCCCATGTCTTCTACCAATCACTTCTTCCACCCTGAGGTCTTTTACGTAAATGTTATCTATTAAGAAAGAGTGCACCGCCCAGCCAGCGTGGCTCCGTGGCTGAGCATCGAACCATGAACCAGGAGGTCAGGGCAGAGGCCCGCGCCTGCAGGCTTGATCCCAGTGGGAGGCGTGAAGGAAGCAGCCGATCCGCGATTCTATCATCACTGATGTTTCTCTCTCCCTCTCCCTCTCTATTCCTCTCTCAAATCAGTAAGAATATATATATATGTTTTTTTAAAGAGTCCTAAGTTAAAACAAAAAAGCTCGTGGACCCCTAAGTTGCCTTTCCAGGTGACCTCATCGCCTGAGCCAGAGGAGGGGCTGAGAGCTCGCCTTCCAGCTGCTGCACTGTGCGCTGGATGTTGTTTGAGAATTTCTGGAGGTTCATTAAGAACTCGTCCCGTATTAGCTGAATGCCGTGGTATTCCACCGTCTCCCCGGCCACGCTCAGGAGGTCCGCGTCCGGGTCCGTGGGGTCCAGCATGTCTCCTGGTGGCAAAGCCGAGCTCGCCTCCTTGTGCTGATTGAAGGACAGCGCCGGCAAGAAGACCTGAGAGGCCAAGCGGGTGAAACCAGTCACCACCCGACCCCGTGTCCATGGCGTGTGCTCTCGGAGCGCCCTGGCTTGGGATCAGAGGCACAAACGTAAGGACAGAGCCCAGGACGGGGCCTGGACCACGAGCTGCGGGCCGCCTGCTCGCGGAGGCTCCGGGGCCTCCCTCTTATCCGCGCCGGCTCCGCCTCCGCCCACACGCACCTGACAGACAATGTCTCTGAGGAAGTGGAGAATGTTCGAGTTTAGGATGCCGTACTCCAGCGTCTCGGGCATGATGTCCATAGCTTCCTTCATGTAGCTGGCTTCCGAGATGGTCTCTGAAAGGGAGCGGGTGCAGGGGGCTGCGGGCGCAGGCAGACAGCTCACACCGCATGTGAGGTCAGGGGCCAGCACCCTCTGAGGCCTAAGGCCGTGTACGCCAAGAAGCGTTCCGGCCTCGGACTCAGAGTCCACGCCAGTCCCATTCCCACGACGCCCCTGGCCTACGAGACGCTGAGACACACACTGACGCACCGGGGTCCGGACCGGGACACGCAGCGCCCGGCTGAAGCCGGACGAGAGCAGGACCAACTAGCGGTTCCTAGAAACACCTGCGGGGCTCCCTGCTCTGGGGGCTCCGCCTCCCATCCATGCCCCTCGGCACACTGTCTTCTGAATCCCGGGGTTTCTAAAGGCACATCTGCTAGTCTGCCCTGCTGCCGGGCTGCCGGGCCTGAACCCCTGCTCCACCAGGACCAGCAGCACGGCCCGCATCGGAATGCCACCTGGATCCAGGTCTCACTCTAACGAGGGGAGTGGAAGCACCGATGTTTCTCCAGCGCCGGCCTCGGCGCTCCCCACCTTGGAGACGCGCTCTGTGCTTTGCTGGGCACATTCTCACACGCACACCCCACGATCGCACCCACTCTCGGGAAAGGTTACCTTTTGTGTTTCTCAGGAAAAACACCACGTTCTGGGCCAGAAACTCCTCGGGGACAGGAGTGCAGAGCACGTGGAGATGCGTCTTGTCCACAATGTGCTTAACGATCCTCTGAAACGGGCGGTGCCAGCCAGGAGATACATCCAATCACCCCACCGGCTAACCTACGACCTAGCCCCCGCCACCTGCCTTTCCCTCCGGGCCCAGCTCCGCTCTCACTCCTGACGGCCCAGACACAGCTGCACCTCAGGCATGAGCCACTCAGGGTTTTAAAAAACAACACGCCCTGACCGGTTTGGCCCAGTGGGTAAAGCGTCGGCCTGCGGACTCAAGAGTCCCAGGTTTGATTCCGGTCAAGGGCATGTACCTTGGTTGCAGGCATATCCCCAGTAGGGCGTGTGCAGGAAGCAGCTGATCAATGCTTCTCTCTCACTGATGTTTCTAACTATCCCTCTCCCTTTCTCTCTGTAAAAATAAATAACTAAATAAATAAATTATAATATATATATATATATATACATTAAAAATTTTTAAAAAATACATATATATATACACACACATATATATATATATGTATATATATATATTTATTTATTTTTTAATTTTTTAAAAAAATACAAAACAACAATCTGCAAGTTTTCTGGGCCACACTTTGCAACAGACCAAGACTGAGCTCCGTGTTGGGGGTGGGGCATTCACAGAGCGGTAAAGTGTCCTTTCCCTCAGCAGAGGTCAGGCTAACTGCTTGCATCCCGGCTTTAAGCTGCGGGGAAGGGTTAACCCAGCAGCCTGGTGTCCGCACCTCGCACGTTGCTGAGTGTTTGGATCTGGCCCTGTGTTTGGAGTGACTGGGTGCATGCGTGTCTGCACACCTGAGGAGGGTATGCCGCCTCGATGCCTCATGGCGACTGCCCGCCTGCCTGGTCACATCGTATCAGACTCTGAGGGCACCGGGACAGAGCAGCTGACGTGAGCCGGAGGGCACTTCCGCCTGTGTGAGTGGCCGCCCGGACACCGGCTCAGGCGAGCTCCCCTGATTTGCAGCGCTTCCCACGCGTTGTCCCCCGGAGCCGCAGCGCCGGGAGAATGAGCTCTGTCCGTGCCGGCCCCGGCAGGCCAGGGGAAGCTCAGGCCCGCTCTGCTGGCCTCTGCCCGCCTCCTTTTTCCTTGTCGGTTAGAATCTGCCTGCTTCCCGAGATAAACTCTGGGACCACACAGCTCTTCTGGGTCCTGGGGGTCACTGCAGCGAGCCATTCTCTCCCGGCGGCCTCGGGGACTCCCCGCACAGAAGCCCGTCCTCTCCGGGCCGCGGAGGACCCGGGTCAGTCCCCCAGCCGCCCTGGGAGGCACCCAGTCCCATCACCGCCCGCAGGGCAGGAAGCGCGCGTACCTTGGTGAGCCTGCGGCCCAACCTCTCTCGGCCCCAGTCGTCATCCTCTGTGATCATCACGGACTGAGTCATGGAATTGGCTCTCGACTGCCTACCCTTAGCTGCAGAGCGTTGTTCAGGGAACAAGAGGAGCCTCTCAGAAACCGGGTTCCCTCCCCTCAGGACCCAGCGTGCACGCTGCCCGGAGGCCCTGGCATTCCACAGCCCGGCACAAAGGCCGCCTCCCGTCTCTCCCAAACACGTCCTCTCGTAGCCTCGACCTACCCTCTGGTCCGGAGGGCTGTGTTGCATTTTGGATGGGTCCTCAATCAGAAATTCAGCATGTTTGTGTGCATGTGCCTCTGTGTGTGCGTGTGTGCACGTGTGTGTGCATGTGTGTGCATGTGTCTGTGTGCATGTGTCTGAGTGTGTGCGTGCGTGTGTGTGTGCATGTGCGTGTGTGCATGTCTGTGTTTGCGCACGTGTGCGCGTGTGTCTATGCGTGTGTGTGCCTGTGTGCGTGTGTCTTCTACGACTGTGTCCAACCAGTGACTCCCCAGAGTTTTACTTTGAATAATGGGAGTTTTAGCGTCAGGAAGAGAATCACAGCTTGCACGTAAGCATGTACTCCCTTTCCACTACAAAACTCGAAACTTGTGGGGGCTGCAGAGAGAAGGATCTAGATAACGGGGCCTGGTCAGAAACTCCGGGTGGCAGGTCACCGTGGAGCCACGCCGCAGGCTCAGAGCTTCTCATCTTTGCTTCGAGCAGGCCCGGTCCATCCAAAGGTTCTCAGGCCTTTGAAGGGCCTCTTTTCAGGCGGCTCGTCCTCCCCGGGGCCCCCCTCCAGGGAGCACATCCTAACTTGTCCGTCAACCCAATCCCCGTCTTCTCCCTCGTCCCTGCTGTCTTCCTCACGTGCCCTCCTTCGCCTCAAATGCGTAAATGAAACTGCAACCTGCTATCTTAGGAGCCTCTGCGACCTGCTCCCTGGCATATGCCATCAGTTTGGCTCAAACAGACGCATACAAACTCCCTGCGGCCCCGGCAGGTGTGTCTCGGTGGGTTTCGCATCCGCCTGTGCCCCGGGGGGGCGTCTGTTTGATTCCCACAGGGCGCAGGCCTGCGCCGCCGCTCGGCCCCAGTAGGGGGCGTGCAGGAGGCAGCGGACGGATGTTTCCCTCCACCTCCTTTCCTCTCTTTAAAATCAGTAAAGACATTTTTTTTTAACAAAATAACTGCAGGCTTGGGCGTTTCTTGCGTCCACAGGAGAAGAGAGGGGGATTCCCGCACAGGCACACGGCGGGGGGTCAGCCATGCGACCAGAGGCCCAAGCGGAGCGATGCGCCTCGGCCCCGCCGACCGCCACCAGCCGGGGGAGAAGCGGACCCCCGGGGCCTCCAGGGGGCGCTCGGCCCGGCTCCCCTGGGGCTTGCGGCCTGCACAGGCCGCTGTGGAGGCCGCTGGTGCTGGCAGCCCCGGCAGCTAATAATGCGCCTGTCCACCCCCCGCAGGTCCCTCCGCGCGGCCCGCCACGTCCCGCATCACCCGGTGAAGCGCAGACATGAGCCCGGTCCGGCCACGAGCCTCCCGGGTTCTGCCCGCGGAGCCCCGCACCTGACTCTCTGTCCACGGACTCGCGCTTCTGAAACTTCGTCTCTTCCTCCTCCTCTTCCTCCCCCTCCGTGGCGGAAAGATCGTCTTCGCAGCGGAGAAGCGGAAAGAAAAGAGCCAGTCACGCCGTCTCCCCGCGGCAGACACCTGGCCTCACAGCAATCCTCGCAGCTGCGAGGCGGGAGAGGCCAGCCAATGGGAGGCGGCCTCCGAGCGGAAGTGACCCCGGTTGACCCGGAAGCTGGCCCCGGGCAGGAAGCGGTCCCTCCCCCTGCTCTGCCCTTGGAATGGAACGTTCCGCCCATCGTCCCAGAGACCACGTGGATGGGGACCACGGCTGATGCCAGCGAGGCCTGCCGGCAAAGCAAGGTCCTGGAGGTCCTGGTTGTGCCAAGGCCCAAAGCAAGCCTCCGGTGGATGCCCCCTGGCTCACTAAACCCGTCCATCACCAATTCTCCATGTTCAGGAGGCCAGTGTTAGCCAACACGGCCCTACAGAAACATCCGGGGTAGCAAAGGGCAGACGTGCAGATTCTCCAGCAGGGAGCGCACTGGCACCCTCAGACAGGGTGGCCGTGGAGAGGAACCAAGAAGGAGGGGGAGGCTGGGGGAGACTCAGAGGCAGCCCGGAAACAGCTCAGCACCTAAGGGAGGTTTCCCAGCAGCCTTCGGAGGGCCCAGGCATGAACCAGGGGGATCCTCCACAGTGAGCGCGTAGTCTGGGTCCCTGTAGAATGGGGACACCCAGCCAGGAGACACTGGGCCAAACGTGTGAGTACACACAGCACAGCAAAGGGCCACCAGACTGCTAAAAGGAGCCCTCAGCGGTCACAGCAGTGCGAGTCCAGTCCATTTCTTAGGGTCTCGGATATAATCAGGGTTACTGAAATTTGGCCCACGTTAAGTAGTCGATCCTGTTCGTGTATCTGTGTGTTCGTATTTTCACTTGGTGATAGTGAGAGTCTAAACTCAAGGTCCCGCTGTAATGTAACACCCAAGTCCAAAGGTCTGCCTGGGAGAGAGTAATGAAAGGCTGGAAGGATAGATTCCAAAATGCCATTGTGTCCTCTCTCTGGGTGCCGCTAGCGATTGGTTGTGGTGGCTAGGTGTGGTTTTGGCTTTTTCTACAATGAAAAATAAGTGTGTGGCCTGCCCAGCACGGCTCAGTGGTTGAGCATCGACCTATGAGCCAGGAAGTCAGGGTTCGATTCCCGGTCAGGGCACAGGTGGGAGCTGCAGGCTCGATCCCCAGTAGGGAGCATGCAGAAGGCAGCCGGTCCATGATTCTCTCTCCTCATTGATTTTTGTAACTCCCTCTCCCTCTCCCTTTCTCCCTGAAATAAATAAAAATATTTTTTTAAATATAAATAAAAGTGGCTGTCCTTTTTAAAATCTCATTTTAAGGTGACCAGGCGTCCCGCTTTTGGCGGGACAGTCCCGATTTTTAGCAATTTGTCCCGCGTCCCGCAGCGTTTTAAAAAAAAGTCCCAATTTTTGGAAAGAATCTTTTAAATCTTTTGAACTTTTTTAAAAACGCCTCGGGACGCGGGACAAATTGTTAAAAATCAGGACATCTGGTCACCTTACCTCATTTGCACATTATTTTCCAATCGCATGTCAGGAACCGCAGAAGATATTAAGGACCGCTCTCCCGCCCTGGGAACACCTGTGTCAGGGAGAGGCAGGATGGAGTGTCGCCCCCAGCACCCAGGCTGGTCTCCGGCCTGTCAATGACCAGTGGCTGCTAATCTTGAATCTTGACTGCCTGGGTGACCTACAGGGTGGGTCATTTAGGCCTGTCTGGGCCGCAGCTTGCTCATCTGTGAAATGGGTCAGCAATGCTCCCACCTCACAGCATGCAGGGGCTGTTACAAGCGCGTGGACCTGTGCCCGCTGCGGAGGAAGCACTGATAAGCGTTTGCTCCTTTCCCAGCGGGCTGTGCGAGCAGGGGCGGCTTCCCCGGTTCCCCCAGAACCCCGGGACCCCGACAGCCCCTGCCCTGGGTGGGCGACCACAACCCTCTAAGCCGGCACGGAGGGGGGGGCCCGGGCCGGAGGGGGGCGCGGGCCCGAGGGGGGCCCAGGCCTGGGGCGGCGGCGGCTCACCGTTGTCCACCTCCACCTCCACCTCCTCGGGCACCACCTTGCGGTAGAAGAAGAGCGTGGAGGCGCCCTCCTCCTCGCTGGTCTTGTTGAGAAAGTGCAGGATCAGGTCCTCGGCCTCGCCGTCCTCGCGGGTCAACAGCTCCTCGAAGAGCTGCGGGTCTGTGAGGCCCAAGGCCGTGTACACCCGGTCGCGCATCCACTGCACCCGCAGGTCGTCCATGGCGCCGCGGACGGAGCCCGGCGCCGGCAGGCAGGCGTCCTTGGCAACGCGCCCCTAGCAACGGCCGCCTCGCAACGGCCGCCCCGCGCGGTCCCCGAGGGCGGAGCGCGAGCCGGAGGCGGGCGCGGGTGGTTCCGAGCCCTCGGGGAAGCCTGGGGCCCCAGCCGGCCCCCCAGCCTGTGCGCCGAGCGCTGAGGGGCTCTCCTCCCCCCGCCCCCCGCCCTGAGCCCCGCCGGGGCAGCCCGCACCCTGGGGTGGGCCCTCGGGGCGCCAGGAGCCTGTCCTGGGCCTCCCAGCACCGGACCCTGCCCGTTTCGCTGTGAGGAAATCGAGGCAGGAGCAGCGGCAAGACGAGGCCCAGGATCTGGAGGCAGAGGCCGAGTTGGAGGCCAGGAAGGACCCTCCCAGCCCCCGGGCCGGTGGATCACAGGGGCCGGAGGAGCAAATAGCTTTGCGGAGGGAGGTTGAAGGGACAAGTTCCGGGGTGTGTGTGGGGGGAGAGACACACGGTTTTTGGCTTCTAGTCAAGCCAGGGAATAAAGCAGAGCGCTCACGTTTTAAAAATAAAGATTTATTTTCCGTCAGTAAAAAGTTCAACACTGAGAGGGAGACGCGCCCGTGTCCTTTCATGCATTGGGGCCCAGGGCTTGTCCACCGTGTTCCTGCTCAGCGTGGAGCCCTCGCTTCCGGCCGGCCCTGAGCACCGGCCCTGGCCGGGTTCCCACTGACCGAGGGGAGCCCTACGGCTCCGTACAACTCTCAGCCCGCACTCAGCTCGGGCTGGCTGCCCCGGGTCCAGCCTGGACTCGCGATGCCCCCGGAGACCAGGTGGCACGCACGCACACCTGGCTTCAACACTTTTAGTCAAAAAACCTGTTTTTAATGCAGACCGCAGAGCAGCGGCTGAAGTTCCTTTTCATTTGTTTTCCAAATCAGAGGGTCCTAAAGCATCGCTAAGAAACTCATACACGCAGCAGGTCCACCAAATACTAGCTTAAAAACAGAACACAGCACCACTCTGGGGACACAGCGCTGGGACCAAGAGCTCCAACGGGAAATGAAGTTCCCTTTAGTGCCGAGACCGTCACACTGTGCTTCTAGAGGGTTCTGTCAGGACCACTCGTTTGCTTTTTATAGGATTACATTCCACACAGTTTCAATGGAGAAATGACTCCCTCTCGGTTCATCCCGAGGTGCTCATCGGAGCGACAGGGCCCGGACAGGGAGCAGCGGGCCGGGCGGCTCCCGCAAATGCTCTCCGTGCTCCCCGGGGAGGACTCAGCCCCTCCTCCAACTCGGCCCCTGGAGGCGCCCAATGAACACGGCCCAAGGGCCAGGCTGAGCACTGAGCTGAAATCCTATTTCAACCGGCGTTTTGTGACGCCTTCTGCTCTCAGCTTCCCACCTGCCGTCTCACAGCTCTGTTCGCCAGCCCTCCCCCCACTGCGGTGTCCCACCTGGAGACAGAGTATTCAGATCTCACCTTCCCCCCGACAGTGTCCGACATCACTCCCTCTGGGGAAACTCAGCTGAGAGCAGGCATTTTCCCTTCTGTCTCCTCAGCCTCGCTATCGGCCTGATGTTTACCATGAGGGACAAACCCCAGAATTCCAACTGGCGTGGGTAACACCCGTGGGGAGCAGCATGGAATCCTCAGGATGAAGAGAGTCTGTCAGTTCTGCTCAGGGGTTGTCGACCCACCAACCAGGAGGTCCCAGTTCATTCTGGTCAGGGCCCAGGCCCAGTTGAGGGCTTGATCCCCATTGGGGGGGCATGCAGGAGGCAGGCCTTGCATGATTCCCTCATCATGGATGTTTCTCTCCCCCTTCCTCTCTGAAATCAATAAAAATGCCTATTTCTTAAAAAGGTGTGATGTTAAGAGTCAGTTATGCCTGGCTGTTCAGTTACCCCTCCTCGGCCCCCGAGCCAGGGCGGAGGACGACGGCCACGGACAGCCTTGGGCGTGTGTTACAGGAAGTGTGAGCAGGTGGACATACTGCGGGCTCGTCCTGAACATGACTGACGGCCATCACAGCAGAGCCGGGGGAAGGAGCATGACGCACAGGAGACAGGACCGATTCCCACTCGTTCAGAACTGAACGTCACGTGAGCAGATGCAGTTAAAGGAGACTCCAGGTCAGTGGCGGAGAATCGGCTTCCGACCAAGCTGAGGGTGTGACATGCCCGTGACCTCCGAGTGCCTTAGCCGGACCTTCATTTAGAATCGGCCTCAAAGTACAGAAACGACAATGTCCCGTTCTCCGGGGGAGGTCCGACTCCCTCGTGGTAAATACCTCCATTCACATTTTGTGATAAAAGCATACAAAAGATTATTCTCTCCCTCTCCCCCGCTCAGCATAAACCCTGTCGGCTCGGTTACATCAGCCACGCGGGGACTGAGCCCAGGGCCTGTCCCGCTGCGTCTTCCAGTCCCGCTGCGTCACACGGCAGGGCACAGCGAACACACAGCGAGGATAACCGGAGTGACACGGGAGAACAGGGCAAGCGTCTTTAAAAAACGCACAAGCGGGATAAACATCGGTGTAGGTTTCGTCCCATAGTCCCCAGTTAAGACAAGACAGAAATGTAGAAACCACCTCCTACTCGGAATCCCAGGAGAATAAAAAATGTTCGCACAGTTCTGGTCAGGCAGAGTATCAAATGTGTCTTGATTATGTCATTAAACTTTTTAAAAAACTAGACTTATTCAGCTGCTGGAAAATATTCTCTGACTTCAGGTAACAGAGTAACTCTGTTTTTGGGGGTTTTTAATAAAGTGAAAGGAATGAATTACCTACGACTGCTTCCGATCAGCCACTCAAAGGGGACTCCCCTCGCCCAAGCCTGTGTTTTAAAAAATAACTTTATCGTAACGTTTGGCATTAACTTATGTTTGCTCCTCAGGAACACTGAAATAAATGTATGTATCTAAACTGACAAACTACAAAACACTTAACGTGAGGAAGAGGTATATCTTACAGAATTATTTGGCTAGATCCTAAGGCAATCAATGAAGACAGAGTTTTTCTGATCGTAAATCGGACTTAAGCGAATTTCTACAACATGATAGCCCTCCGCCACCGGAGCCCGAGGGAGGCAGCTGCGCGGTCACGCCCCGTTGTCGCTGAACTTCCAGGACAGCCGTCGGAAGGAGAAGGGGACGAACTTGGTGCCTGCACCAACATAGAACTTGTTCTGGAATTCCACCCTAAAATGAAAAACAAAAAAATCCATGTATTCATGAAAGGCTGCGAATAACGTTCCTACATTCTGTAGAACAGCTTCTAAATGAACAACAAAATCCCTGGGCTGCGGTTGCTTCACCCCGTGGTGTTCTTGGCAGAACTATTTGTACTCAGAATGCACACACGTGCCGGCCCGTGTAGGCATGACGTGTTAGAAACACATCACTGCCCCACCCACTGCACACACACACACACACACACACACACACCAGCACCAGCACCTCCCCACCGTGGCAGAGGGTACAGACACTGAGAAACAGGCAGGAAGCCTTTTACGGGATAAAGCAAGGCCCGCGGGGAACCGAGGGCCTGGAACACACAGTCACGGGCGAGCGTGGACTTGCTCTCGCCTGTCAGGGCTGACAGCGCAGAGACCGAACAGAACGATGACTCGGGGATCCAGACACAGGCCCCGTGTGGCAGGAGAGACACGGCTGAGGTAAGCAGGGGAGAGGCCCCTGAGCGGCAGGGGAGACACGGCTGAGGTAAGCAGGGGAGGGCCTGTGCGGCAGGGGAGACACGGCTGAGGTAAGCAGGGGAGGGGGCCCGTGCGGCAGGGGAGACACGGCTGAGGTAAGCAGGGGAGACACGGCTGAGGTAAGCAGGGGAGGGGCCCCGTGCGGCAGGGGAGACATGGCTGAGGTAAGCAGTGGAGGGGCCCCGTGCGGCAGGGGAGACATGGCTGAGGTAAGCAGGGGAGGGGGCCCTGTGCGGCAGGGGGACACAGCTGAGGTAAGCAGTGGAGGGGCCCCGTGCGGCAGGGGAGACATGGCTGAGGTAAGCAGGGGAGAGGCCTCTGTGCAGCAGGGGAGACACGGCTGAGGTAAGCAGGGGAGGGGGCCCTGTGCGGCAGGGGAGACACGGCTGAGGTAAGCAGGGGAGGGGCCCCGTGCGGCAGGGGAGACATGGCTGAGGTAAGCAGGGGAGGGGGCCCTGTGCGGCAGGGGGACACAGCTGAGGTAAGCAGGGGAGGGGCCCCGTGCGGCAGGGGAGACATGGCTGAGGTAAGCAGGGGAGAGGCCTCTGTGCAGCAGGGGAGACACGGCTGAGGTAAGCAGGGGAGGGGGCCCGTGCGGCAGGGGAGACACGGCTGAGGTAAGCAGGGGAGGGGGCCCGTGTGGCAGGGGAGACACGGCTGAGGTAAGCAGGGGAGGGGGGTTACATACACACATGAGCGGGAGGAGTTGGACTTTCCGGAGGGAGAGTGCCGCTCACCAGTGGAGGCGGATGGCGTGGAGGAAGGCGGACAGCCCCTCCATGAGCAGCAGGATGAAGATGGTGAGCACGGCAAACAGCGCCATCACGGGCAGCAGCAGCAGCACGCCGTAGGTCTTGTCCACGCGGAGGCCCACGCGCATCAGCATGGCCCACAGCACGTCCGACAGCTCTGCGGGGCCGCGGGCGGGTGAGCGTCTGTCCCGGCTGCCTGCACGGGCTCCCCTGGCCACGCCACTGCCCCCGCGGATCCCACACCCTCCGCTACGCCACCTCTCCTCACGGGAACGGACACAGCGCCCTGACCCAGACCGGGAGGGGTGGCGCCAAGCGGGGGCCGTCGGCTCTGTCCCAGCACAGCCCGGCCCAGCAGCGCTGAGGGAGGTGCTGCGCTTCCCCGCGATGTGGCCGGGTGCTGGGCCGGTGCTGGCGGGTGCTGGCGGGTGCTGGGGGCAGGGGAAGCGGGGCACTCACGTGCGTGCGCCAGGCTGAGGGCCCAGAGCCGCAGGTAGGACGCAGTGTTGGAGATGCAGCCCAGGCAGTACTCAATGGAGTGGAT